GACAAAGAAGGCAACCATTTGAGTTTTTTTTTTATTTTTTGTGGTTCCACAAAAATCACGTGGAAAATGCTTGAGGTGAGGTCCAACTCCGACCAGTCACGACGTCAACATAAATTATTACAAGTTCATAAAAAATGCATATAATGTGGGCTTTATTGTGCTGCCAAATGACCTAACTTTGATCATAGCCAACTAATCTGATATGTGTCTCTTACATATTCGGTTTACAGGTGTCAAACAATTCCTAGGAAAACTAAGCGGGTAGATTACAACACTTGCCAAATGAGATACTACTGCATATTGGACAACTGGGCTTAGAAATATATGTAGCTGATTAGCCAATATGCAAATGGATTATTTATATAAATATTTATATACATAAATTTTTAAATACCAACTTGTAACTAGAGAATATAGAACAGCTGCTCAAGAAAGTTAAACTAACCTTTATTTAGGTTGGGTGTTTTGGTTATCTTTATATTCCTATCCAAAACCCGCAAAAAAAAACCACACTTTTGTTAAAATTGTTTTCGTTTTTAATTAAAGAAAACCGCTTATCTTCATGTCCTCCATATAACGATATTTTACGGTTTAATCAACACACATCCACACACTACTACATAATTTCCGGAAAAAAACAGACTATAAATAAAATGTAGCTTATTAAGCTGCAAATGAATAGGTTTTTTAAATGCATGTTGTATCTCATTTGTTAACCCTTTTTGTTTGCCCTTTGGAATAGTGCTACCATCCAAATTAGCCGCAATGCTCTAAGCACAATCCAAGACACAACAAAAAACATAATTTTGAAGCTACTGTATTGGGGCAAAGTTTCGTTATAATTTTGCTTCGTTGTCTTCTAGTTAATTTTTGTTGTAATTTTTAGTGTAATTATTTAAACATTAAACCAGTTGAGCGACCAGCTGGCAATGCAACATAGTTTCTGCTTTTTTAGTGAAAACAAGAAAGTCATAGACATGAAAATGAAATATCATCACCCATCAGACCTATCATTCAATGCCCCAGACACGCTGTGTCGGAGGAGCAGTCGATGTACGTATTTTTCCACTTTATTTCTTTTTCTAGCAACAATTTACAAATCAGTTGACGGCTGTAATTTTTCTAGCTTTCAGGCTGGCTGCACAAGCCCCAAATAATGAGTAAGGGAATTTTTTTTATTATTGGGCCAAAGAAGAAGACCAAATGTAACCTGCTTTCTTCTGGCATTGTAAATATATTTTTTTTTTGTTTTGGTTGTTGTTTGGTGAAACTCTATCTAATGGATACAATTTGTTAGAATGTTGTTGAATTTTTCTTTTTACTATTTAAAATACCTTATAACTATTAAGTTGGGAAAGGGTATATAAGAAGGTATAAACAAAGTATAAACAAATCAAATTTGGAGTGCAGACGAGTAACATACAATACAAAATTACTAAATGAGGAGATCAACTGATTTTTGTTAACAATTTTTATATAGTTTTAAACTCAAAGCTTAACGTTCGGACACTGTAAATTTCTCCATCTCACCGGATTCAAAATATATCGGAATATATAAATATATTTAAATTATGTAATTGGGTCACCAAACAAAAAAAAAACCACCAAGAAAATTCAACAAAATTTAATTTATATAGTATCTACAAGTTGAGCACTCTTAACTGGAACACTCTTTTGCTTAGTCTCTCAGCGGAAGAGTTGCATTAAAACCGACGCTTTGGCGGCAATTGAACGAAAGCAATCAACACAACCAACAGCTGATAGAAAGAGAGGCATTTAAAATAAAAAGAGATAGCCAGAAGTGAGAACCTACGACAACATTTGAATAGGGGGTGCCAGAGAACGGCGCATGTGCCGTGACCTCCACTCTTTGCGAGTGGGTGGCTTGGGTGGCTCGTGTCGCGCCTTTTACTAGTTGTAACTGTTGTTGGCGCATTGCTCACTTTTCTGAGCGCCTGGCGAAAAACGTAATGGCGAGTTTGTGTGTTGACAGAATCGAGCGCCAAAAATGATTTGGCGCCGGACTTGTTGCCTGTCGGCGACTGTTGTCTGTTTTGGCTGCTCCTGCGAATGCTGCGCGCCTAATCGAGGCGCCAGCGGTCGCGGCGACTTGACGGCGCCGTCGACGTCGTTCAATATGGATGCACTTGACTAGTATTATATGTCTTTGCTGGCACCATCTGAACACACAGTGCGGATATCGGTGGGGCTGCGGTTGGGGTTAGTGCTGTGGCTGTGGCTGAGGTTGGGGTTGCGTTGGGAGTTCAAAAAACACAATCAATGATTTGCTGCGCCAAGGGACGCGGTTGTCAGAAATTTATAGAAGTAACATTCAACAGTTAAGAACCCACATCTAAAACACACTTTTGCGGGGAAGGGAAACAGCTCGATACATTTATTATTGTATGCAGACATTCGCCCAAAATAAAGAATAACGAAACGTTAGAAAACAGCAGCGCCAACATTGTTGCTAATTGACAGATCAGACATGGATCAAGATCAAGTTAAGCATCGGGCAATGCTTTTCATATCTCACTATCTCCCTCACTATCTCTCCCTCTCTCTCTCTCTCTTTCTCTCACAGTCGTGTGCTGCTGTCGGAATCTGCTAAATTAGTGGTAATTAAAGTGTTACAAGGTGTTTTCTGTTTGCCCCGAAGAAAGTTAAGACAAGGCTAACAAACAAAAAAACAACAACTAAGCGCTGATAGATGAATGAGCTGAAAAACAACTGAATTAGCGATAAGTTGCCAGTTCTTTCAGTTATACAACAGTTGCATAGACGTTTAAGTGGAAAATAACTTTATTTCAAGTTTGATTGAAAGAAGACGTATTTCTAAATGATTGCTGTTTATTATAGATAAACTTACGAAGCGTATAAGAATAAATCTATGCTATTTTTGTAAGAGATTATATTCGATATAAATTACAAATACGAGTTTCGAGGCATACATTTTTTGAAGCCTTAGGGCATTCGAAAGGGCCACGGTTCCTAAGGTATGCGGAAACATTTGAAAGCCCAATTACAGCAATAATAAATAATACCCAATATTAAGTTCATGGCTTCCTTTGCTCACAATTAATTGGCGCTGGAATCAAGTCACTAATTAACCCTATGTCTAAACTTGCCTTTTGGCTTTTGGCCATATAGAGAGCAGAGGAGCTGAGAGCTTCAGCTATTTTTGGTCGTGTCATGGCAAGTCATATCTCAACATCCATTTGAATGCATCAACCAAAGGCAGTAGAATGCAGCTGATACCAAATACGAGGTTGTCATTTAAAGACATTTGAAGACAGACGGAAAGTTGCTGCAACGGCTTGCGGATGCCACCCGTGAGAAGGGAAGCACAAGAATGTCAGATCAGAAACGGGAAGATATTAAAACACACACACACGCACACACGCACACACACAATTCCCAATTAACGCAGCTTATCTAAAAGCCCATAGATTACGGCAACCTGTATTTTGACAGCACCACCAATGATTAAACAATTAGCAGTTGTGGATGCCACAACAATATCCCACAGTCAGACACGTTCTGTGGCAACAACAACATCAACACAAATGAAGCCACAAAACAAAAAGATCTCTAGATCTGACCAATGAGCGACCCTCATCAATTACAACGCAAGAAACTAAGAGATGACAGAAAGGAAAAAATCGAGTTGCTACACACGAAAAATACGATACAATATTTATAAGAGCCCCATATTTATCAAACATTTACAAACTATAAGGTAGAAATAGTCCAATATTTTGGCATTCCAGAACTATGTTATGAATTACGTTTGAAGACATTTTTTTCTCAGTGCAGTGTAGGCAAGTGGATGCGCTATATGCGAGAAAATATGCTCGATGGTATAAATGGTATGGATGCTATATGGCATGCAATGGTCGTTCCCCACAGGGGAGTCACAGTTTACACTTTCCCAAGATACACGCAATCGGAAAAAGAGACAGAGCGAGAAAGGGGGAAAGAGATGAGGCAGCGAGGGGCAAGAAAAACCTCAATCGAAGCGGCTTGGGTGCATAACTTAAAGCGCAGGTCATCAGAGAGCTGGTTGTTGTGTGGGTTGTTTGTTTGGAAAGTGGACGATAGCGACAGCGATGCCAATGCCAAGATGGATTGTTTCGCTTGCCACACGGAAACGCACATCACAGGCCCAAAACAACAACAACAACAACAGCAACAGCAACAAGAAATAAAGACAGACAGCAAGAAAGAAAGAAAGAAGTTAACTGTCGCTTATTAAGTGAAAATGAAAGCGTTTGCCGAAAAACCACTCGACAAGCGACCCTCTCTTGACCAAACTGAACCGGTTTTCCGGCCCCTCAACAACAACAACAACAACAACAGCAACTAAACAACTGACCAACTAACAAGCTAAACAGCTCATTTTCATGGTCCAAAACTTGCATAGTTCAGTTTGTATCGGTTGCCATACAATGTATTCAAAATACCACCCTAAAAAACAAGCACATGGGAAAATAATTAAATACGAGTCTCAATATATTTTCTCAGCCATTTTAGTTAGATGTATTTAAAGTTCTATATATATTTAACCACTTTGCGGATAAAGAACGAAATCGCAGTTCTTATCATTTTTTGCTGTGTACAAATATATGTATATACATATATGTGCCAAGAACTAAACACAAAGAGCTTTCACGATTTGTTGTATAATTTTAGCATTATTGCTTAAGAGCGTTGAGTTCTGCAGTGAGTAATAATACAAAAAGAATTGCAAATAATTTGCAATTGAAATGTGAATTATATTAAATATATGTGTTGCATTAAAGTTGTTGCAAAGAAATGCTAAAATCCTTTCATGCCCAAATAGGGTAAATATCAAATTGGCCGTAAATCTGATTCTAAAGTCATGACATGGATAAATAAATCCCTCGTTAAATCAACTCGTTACCCCGTTGCCTGCTTTAAAAGGGGGACAATCTCTGGATAGGGTTGACCTAAAGGCGAATTAAGCGTTTCACACTCACCTCGACCAATAACGACGCTGCTGTCGCCGCTGCTGCTGGCGCTGTCATCGCGCGGCGACAACGGCTGCACCTGTTCTTCCTCCTCCTCCTCCTCCACCAGTTGCTGTTGCTCATTCGATTTGTGTGGCAACTGCTGCTGCTGCTGTTTCTTGCCGGAGAAGTGAACACTGCCGTCGCGATGCATGTGCAGCTCGAAACGCGTTGGCAGCTGCGCCTCGTATTCGCCACTGGGGCAGTGCAGCGCCTTGGTGGCGACTCTGTGATAGAGCGCTGTGAACTGATAGATGAGCGCCCAGGCCTGATCCTCAGAGACGGGCGCCTTAAAGCAGTCCAGTATATTGTTCAAGGACACACACTGGTCCGCACTGTTGCACTGATGAAATGCTTGCAACAGCAGTTGTCTGGCGCTTTTTGGCGTCTCTGTAGTGACGACACCGCCGACGCCGACGCCGACGCCGCTGCACTTCTGCTGTTGCAATTCGTGTGTTTGTGTGTGAGGGTGTGTGTGCGTATGTGTGTGCGTGTGCGTGTGCGCGTGTGCATCCCCATTGGCGCTATCCGGCGAGGTGGAGAGAAAACCCTCCTCGGCCTCCCCGTCGCCGGCAAACTGGCGACGCTTGGCCGTTGTAGCCTTGGGCGTTGTTGTTATGGCCTTGACAACAGCGGGGTCGACGTCGACGTCAGCGTCGCCTGTCTGTTGACTGTTGTCCAATTGAAGTTCCGTCATCCTTGCTGCTCTTCTTCTATTTCTTGTTGGTTTTTGTTGTTGTCGTTGTTGGTTGTCGGTCGTTCAAGCAACAAACCAAAAAACTGGAACTGTGCGTCTCAACATATATAAAAATGTATTCTGATTTGTTTATTTGGAATTCAAAATGACATTTGAACAATTTGTCGTTGTCACTGGTTGTTGTTGTTGTTATTGTTTATTATTATTACGCTTTTCACACACACACATTTACATTGACATATATTTGCTCTTAATTCTAACAAGAAACACAAAACACACAACAAGAGGGACTAATTTATATTTTTGCTTTGCTTTACTTTGCTTTGCTCTTTTATTTTTTTTTTTGGTCGTCACGTTTTGTGCACTTGTCGCTTTGCCGTTATTTGCAATTGGCTTGCGCGCTCATCCTCATTTGCTATCCTCTTCTGAGCGCCTTCGCCACTTGCATTTAACACTTACTCGATGCTTGCGCTAGGTTTGGGGATTGTGGAGAGTTTCGTTTCGTTCTCTCTTTGGCCGCTTTTGTGCTAAACAAAATCACGCGCGCGCTTTGATTAGAACACAAATCAAATTAAATTTTTTATGTATACTTGTTGTTTTATTTATTTATTGCGTATTGTTGTTGTTGGTTGGTTCGTTGTTCGCTTGCCTTGACGTCAAATGAAATGTTAAATGCACGAGCGAAAGATAATTTTACACACTTTATCAACCGCTTTTGATTTATTTTCTTCTTATTACGGTTTATTTGGTTACGCCGTTTTACAAGAAGCGCGCACACACGTCCGATCTTCACGAATGCTATTCACTAAATAACAGCTGTTAGCTGAGCAACAACTTGACATCTGTAAAACGTAACATGAGTCGGCTTAACACCACCAGTGCTGTCACTTTTTTTTATTTTCCCGCTGCGCTCAGCTTGTTTTCTGCCACACATTGAAGATATTGGAATCCAATCATTGAAGATAAACTTAATTTTTGTATGTGAATATTTAATTGATTAAAATGTGTTGCTCTCAAGTATTTTGATTAAATTAATATAATTGTAAATTTCAGTTCTTAGCTTTTTATTGTGCAACAGAGTTATTTAACAGCAGCACTCTCGCACTCTTTTAACTTTTAACAGCGCGAGAGCGGCTGGCAAAAGACCGCACTCTGCCTCTCCCTCACTCAAACAACAGTTCAAATTTTGCTCTCTCTCTCTCTCTCTCCCTCTTTGCGTTTTTATTTTGATTCCGGTTTTTCGCTGTGTGTTTGCTACGACTGATAAGCAACGTATAACGCTTCTTATTGGAATATGTGTTGTTTTCTTTTTTCTTTTTCTTTTTCTTTTTTGGCAACGGCAAGCAACATAAACACAGATTTCATATGCCTACCAGTTGAGCTTCAGGTGCAATTTGAAGCAATTATGTTAAGGTCAAGTCGTGTCGAATTGCTATGCGCTGCTTTGCTTTTGGCCAACATACTATTGGAATCACTTCAGCACGCAGGGTCATAAACTTGGTAAACATTAGATGATGACTGACTCTCGTCCACAACAACAACAACAACAACTACAATTTCTTACCAGTCTGCACTAGACGGAAATGCTCTGTTGAGCCATGATATATACGGCAATTACGTCGCCCTTAATGGCTGCCATCATTCTTTTTCTTGTTATAAAAAAAAACAAAAACAAAAAAAAAATCTTACGAAATATACAATTTTATAATTAGCTTAGTTATTGCCTACAAAACTGCAGTGGTCGCTATCGATAGATGAGTGCTTTTAGCGATTTATATTTGTCAAAAATAAATTGGTATTTCAATGAAATGCATTTTTAATCACGCCTTAGCCTCTTAATTAACATTTGTTTCTGTTTTTTTTTCTTTTTTTTTTTTAATCTTCAATCAGTTGTGAAATTTCAACTCGCTTCACCTTCCCTGAAATGTTTGCAGTTTTACGATTTAATAAGCCATAAGTACACACCCGCCGGTTGCTGCTGCTGTTGACCAAGTTATGATATATGAGCCGTAAATTGAAACTTTATATGTGGTAGCTGAAAGATTTGCATACAATATTATTACAGCATCTGCTTGGCCTGCGCAACTTTTAACGACTTGTTTCTTGAGCCTTAATAAAACTTTGGCCATACGCAGATTATTTCTTTTTTTATTAATTGGCAACAACTGCTGACTGCTGACGGCTGACGGCTGACTGCTGACTTTAGTTGCAGTTGCAGAGTCGTCCGTCCAGTGTTACCTTGTAGCCTTGTTGCCAGTATCCTATAGCCTGTTGGCCACGTAATCAGGCTGGCAATGTGGCCATAAAAAGTGTGTCCTCAGCTGCAAACTAGCTACAACATCATCGACAGTTGCTTGATATTGCCACATCTGGGTTTTTATGTGCCACATCGCTAGTGAATTAACTAATGAGCATTGCGTTGAAATTGTTGTTTTTTGTTTTTAGCCAAATTAACTGGCAAACCAATGTCAAATCAGTAGCTATCAATTCAATAGCCGAGTTCAACCACCGCCATTGGCGAACTTCAACCCACAATCGAGGAAACCACACCAAAATTGAAACAAAATATAGACGCCTTTGTTCTTGGCCAACTGTGACTGGAGCTTGGACTTCGACGCGACGTGGATGAATCATTGTGCACCTATGTGTATATAAACTATATATATGCTCGTAAGTTCAACCAGCCAAAGTCAAAAATATGCACACAATAAAAATCGGTACAAAATAAATGAGCCAAACTATGAATGGATGGAGTGACATATGAATGCCCTACAACGAATGGTGAATGAAGTTGTTTAAGCAGAAACTGGTAAGAAAATAAGGCGCTTAATCCTATAAAATTATATAAATATCTAATCCTATAAATATGGTGGAAGGTGAGGGGAATCCTTAATAGTTCTATCAAATTAAATTAATTGCGATTTATTGAAATTTAGTGCCAGAAAATTAAACTAACTCGAACTCGATTTCATTAAAATTTCAAAGACATGTGTTGTTTTTAATATATTCGTATTTATTACATACGCCAAGATATATTTTCGAGTCTCGTCGGGAAACGTTTTCAGGTCAGCTTCAATTTTTTCTTTTCAAAAATTAAATTAAACTGATAGTGAAACGAGCGAAGAACATATTTAAATTATAAATAATAATAAATAATTTAAATACACATACAGCTGACACTTACCATAATAATTTCTGGGGTTAGTTCAGCCGAAAGTCGGCTAGTCTCCACTTTAGCTGTAGTTGCATGGAGTTGGCTGTTAACATCATTCTGAAATTGCTGTTGTTCTAGCGCTCAGCCAAGCGTTGCATTTTTGGTCAATTAGATTTTGTCGCGCGGGTGGCAGCAACAGCAACAGCAGTGGCAGCAGCAGCAGCAGCAGTTGCCCAGACGCTTGGTCAATTGGAGGCGTGGCCAGTGAATGTGAATGGATGACTATATATACCTACATACTTTGTATGTGCGTTTGCATTGTTGTCATGCAACGTCGGCGCACCGGAAATGTGCATCCGTTTTGGGGGGGTTGGCTGCAACAAAATGCAAACATTTTGTTTGATTCTTCAACAAATGAGCTCCAATTGGAGTTGGCAAATCTTTCGTCGTTTCTGTGTCAAACGTTAGCTGAGCCATCCAGCGACCAAATTTGGTCAGAGCTTGTGCCAGCGACACATGCAGAAGATGCAACGCTTCGTTGCGCCTGCCACTTGCAACGGCGGGTTGCACAAAAAGCCGCAAGCAGCAAAACTAACTAAGCAATATTAAATGTTTACAAATTCGCAATTAACAGTGTGGCAACGGAAACGATATTAATCGATTAATCGATATTAATCGATGTACGTTTCTGGAGAGCATCGGAAAGTCAACATACGTGCAACAAGCTTCTCTTTTGTGCGGCCTTTTCTTGATTCTGTCTTCCGTCTGACATTCCATCAGTTAGTCAATTCCGTCGCTCACGTGTGGAAATCATTGCAGCCAATGTGCATTATTTCTTTTCTCAACTCTTCTTTTGTTTGCCATTGTTGTTGTCGCTGTGTGTCTCTCTCTCACTCTCTCTCTCTCTGCCTGTCTCTCTCTCTCTCTCTCTTTCTCGGTGAGATCTTCGCCCCGTAGATGCATACAAATACAATTGTGTAATAATTCTGTGCCCAACTTGGTCTAAAAACGTGATGCAATTAAGCGTTTGAGATCGCGCCGATTGCACTCGAAGGCACTTTAAAATTGCTCTCAGTGTATGTGTGTGTGTGCGTGCATGTGTGTGTGTGTGTGTGTGTGTTTGTAGTGGAAGCAATGCAAAGTGTGAAAAGGGCAGGCAAAGTTATGATTATCGTACGTGTTCTTGTATTTAATCTGGTAATCAATGTTTTTCCCTTCTGCCTTTATTACATATTATTATTATTTGGATTGTGAGAATTTTTTACATGACCTAATGATCGCCTGAGCTTGGCATGAGAAAGTTTAGAATAATTCATAATTATGCCACAAATGAAACTAATTTACCCAACTCTGTCCGAGCGATAGAAAGATGCCTCCTGCCTCTAGAATATAGTTCGCACAACTCTTATAAGCCGAGCTTACTCCACATTTGGGCCGACGGCTGCTCCAAGCAATTGAGACCACCCATGATTAAAGACCTTAGTCGCAGACGCAGCACACTTGCCGCACATTGAACCCAAGCATCTAAGTATCCAAGCACCAAATACCAGACCAGCTAACCCAGAAATGTCACAAAAAAAACATCACAGAAAACAAAATTGTCATATCTGAATTTCATTGTAATTTTGTATTTTCATTACGGAAACATTTACAACAACAGCAGCAGCAACAACAATCACAATACGCACATTATTTGCTTGGTATCATTTTTTAGCGGCTTAAATGTATTGTGGCATTCGCACCAAGATGAAGGTGTGCTCAACTGAACGTGACAGAAAGAGCAAGAAAGCTGAAGAGAGGGAGAGAGAGAGAGAGAGGGAGATAGACACTTGACATAGACACAAATACGGATCCACAGAGGAAGAAGAACTCCAAGTGGGGTTTTGTACAGACGATCTCATTCGATGATTTGCCATGACCAGTGAAAGCAGAACGTAATCAGAAAGACTCTGCTGTGCTTCAGATGGAAATATATAGTTTGCCGAAGCGCTCATAAAAAATGGAAAGAATACAAATACCATTTAGTATGCAGAATATTTAATACACTATATGCTTAAGCAAGGATTTCGTCTATTCCATATTCTATTCGGCACTTACAGGTCAATCAAAGAGCAAAAATAATTATTAAGATATCATGTTATAACAAAGATTACGAAGAGTAGCATTACTATATTTTGTGTGCACCTGTATATAGTAAATAAATACATATATATATATATTAAGCCTACCTCCACTGATTACGACTTGTCACACTTCGTCCAATCCTATTCGATATATTTGTTAATTTTACAAGGCCTTGTGTCCTACTATAAATTATCAACATATCTCCGGGAAACTACGCACACTTTTACTATTTATATTCCCTTTCCTTATTGCGATCTTATGATATTGCATCCTTATCCCAATCTTATCACATATTCATATTTATCATGGATCTCTGACTCCATCTTTACTAAAGTTTTCTAAATACTATTCAGGTAAATAATAAAGCAAGAGAGTAATGTATTTATGTAATAATGTTACTCAGTTGATGGTATAATCCAAATACTCTTTCGCCAGAGTATGTCAAATGCAGAATAATTCCTGCTCCATGACACAGCGCTCTAATTTTGTGTGCATGTAATTATTTCAGGTAACTTGGCAGCGTTTTGTATACGATCCCCGCACCCCCTTTTCCCGGCAGCGCTCTCAACCATTCCATCTAGACGACAAGCGGAGACCCATTTTGGGCGGAGGGCAATGGCAACATATTAAAAGTAAGTGGCACTTAAGTCTTGCCCCAAACTTTGAGAACTTGCGCAAAAAGCCAAGTAGCAAGCGACTCAGTCGTCGTCTGGCAGAGAAGTGACTCTAGTACTTGACTCCATGATATACCATTCCATTCCACTCCACTCGAGCTGGGCACATTTGTGGTTATGGGTTGACGACGTGGATCATTCGCTCATAGGGAAAGGGAAAGGGAGAGGGAGAGGGCAAGGGATGGGAATCGCGAGGGGTAGGGAGCTAATATTTGCAATGCAATTTCTAAAACGTGATTCGTGCAAAAAGACAAAATGCCAGCCACAGTCAAGCTCTAAACAAAAGACCATTAATATAATTTGTGTTTGGATATTGTGCCACTCTCCAAATTGCCACTAGACCCCTCCCCTCCCCACCCAAAAAAAAAAAACCGAAGAAAAACTAAACTTAGAAGAGTCGCTCAACTTTAGTCCTAAACGATTATGGGGAGTGCGCAATCCGGAGGCCCGGAGGCTCTAAAACTCAAACTTAACGGCTAACAAATCTCTTAAGAAAGAGACGCTTCCCCTCCCCCCGCCTGCCCCCCCCCCCCCCCTAGACTCGATGATGTTAAGGCAACATGCCACAGTTTTCATATAGCAATGTCTACCAATGGGCTTAGTTCCTGCCCAGCAACCAATTTTAGATCAAATGGGCCGCTGACACGATCGTCGATCGTTAGCCTCGAGATCGCAGTTGTGGGCGTGTGTGGGCTTTGGCCTTTATTTCTATAACTGATCCAATGAAATGGCCAAGCAATTTGCTCGTTGTCGCTTAATTTTTATTGCCAAACATCCGAATTGAGCTTAATGTGAACAAATGACGCAGTAGCTCTCAGCGACAGATAAATCAACATGGATCTAAAGTTCCCACAATGACCTGTGTACATTAGAGCCATGGCATGGGAATATAAACGTCAACAACTCATGATTAACGCTACTATTTATTATCAATTTCGCCTGAAGCAATTCCAAGCTGAGTACCCATTTCGAAAAGAATTTTCAACAACTACAATAAAACCTTTTAAGGTGATTTAATAATTAATAATTTCTTAAAAATATAGAATCATTTATGAAATGTGATTTCAGAAAATATATCAATATTCAAATATATTTTTGAGCACATTTTTTCCAGAAAAACTTATTACATCCAAAAAAAAAGGAAACAAATTACGAAAAGATTGAATGTTTTCATGTTTCCAAAAAATAAAATGCTTTTGATCAACCGATTTTCAAAAGAAGTCTGTGTTTTTGTTCTTGTTGTGTATCCAAAATTATTTTATTCACACAAACTGAAAGCTTATGTGAACTTCTTAAAAGTCGCAGCTTATATTCAGTGTATCTGAGTAGGATTAATCTTGGAACTAGAAGAGCTCCTTTTCGCATTTATGTTTTGTTTTAACCTTCGATTCGAGGAACCTTTTTGAATGAGGCAACAAATCAGCGAGAAGCACAAAACGCTGCGGTTACCAGCGAATACGAGTTATAAACTAAGCAACCGCCAAGTGGCCACCTGGAAGGGAGCACGGGTAGGGGAACAGGTTGCGGCGGGTCTGTAGAATCATAAAGAAAAGTTTTTATGAGACGCCTGGCGATGACTGCGTTGCATCCACGAACGGCGATTGCGTTTGATGATAATGAAGACTTTGCGACAATGTTCTCACTTAGCAAGCAGGTTCCCTAATGATGGGAACAACACAATCAGCAGCAGCAGGAGCAGCAAAATATGTCTGTTGTAAGGAAAGTGTCCAATTGAAGACCACACACGCGCAGAGAACGAGAAGATCATACGATTTGTGTGTGTGTGTGTGTGTGTGTGGCTCGTTACCCCAAAAAATAAAAAAAGATTTTGCTTATTGGACATCTTTGTTTGTTTTTTTTTTCGTTTTTTGGTGCAGCGCACTTTCATTTTCAGTGCACAGCGTCGCATAATTAATTGCGACCGAAAGTGGACAACAATTTAAGCAGCCGTCGCAGAAAGTAAAATGCGCGCCAAAGGAACAACGAACCTGTCCGCCACTAAATAAACCGGATCAAAGCCAGGCGGAGGAGCAGGAGACTGCTGCTGGAAGCTGGGCAACTTTCTTCTTGCTGCTGCTGCTGCTGCTGCCTGTTGCCGCTGCTGCCTGCTGCCTGCTGCTGCCTGTTGCTTGCTGACTTCTGGCTGCTTCTGACACACTAAACTGACGCAACGTGCGGCAGAAAAAACAAGTGCAGAGCAATCGCCACATTTCTTGAGTGCCACATGGGACGCCCACGAGACGAGGCTTCCTGCCGAGAAAAAGCTGGCAAAGACTGTGGCATAAATGAAAATTAAGCATGTTAATGGCAAGTATGCGAAAGAGGTGCAACATGGCTGTATATGCCTGCTGCCTCATTCACACGCTGCAGCAAAGACGTGCACGCAAAATGGGGGGAGTGGGGGGTGGCAAGTGGCAGGCAAGGAGGCGCAAGAAAGAACCAGTTTAATGGCGCATGAAATTTCACCGAAAAATCAACGAATCTGCGTCTAGCTAAAGGTGGCAAACATTGCCACATTTCGTTGCTGGCGCTTAAGGGGGGTAAAGTTGGAGGCGTGGCACGGCAAGTTGATTTGCTTAAAAGAAATTCACTTTTCTTTGGGCTTTTCCTATTTTTCTTTCTTCAAATATATGTGTGTGTCTGTGTGAGTGTGTGTGTGTTTGCCGTTTTCCACAGAAAAGGCAAAAGGCAAAGAAGGTCACGTTGTTGTAGATCATGAGGATTCGACAAGACTCGACTTGGCGACTAGCTTGGACCTGGTCAGAGAGACGACTCTAAGGCTAACAAACCAAAAAAAAAAAAAACAAAAAAAAAACACAATTGAATGCAGCTTGCATTTGCAATGAGCGAAAAATACTTTTAATGAAAGTTGGCACTTTGATTTTGGAGCCTCTTTTTTTTACTTACTGCATGTTTGTTTGTTATTATTTTCTGCTCGTTTTGGGGTTTTTCTGTTTTTTCTGCATGTTTTTTTTTTTTTTGATTTGTGGCAGGCGACATGGAAAATGACAAGGAAAATGCTCGCTGCACAGTTGCTTCATTGCTGTTGTGGCTTTGTGTGTCGGCTGTTGAGTTGGCCAAAAAGGTGTTTTGGCCGTTAACTAATTGGCCGAATGGCTTTGCTTTCATGGCTAGCTTATTGTGATCTACTTTATGGCCAACACACACAAAGTATACGACTTGAAGACTTAAGCCAAATATTTGTGTTGGCTTAGAAACGTGCAACTTATGAGTTGCACTATCTCCTCCTCCCCCTCAATATTTTCTCCAAACAGTTTTTGCAGTTTTTTTTTTATAATACTTAAGATTTAGTACTGATATATGTTATATTGGTATTGGAATTTAGATGTAAGTCAGTTCAAGGCATTTTCAAATAGCTTCTCAATTCTAAGTTGAATTGATTTAGACACATCATTTAACAATTACCATTTATTTGTGTAATAAAATATTTACATTTTGTTAGGTGTATGTGTGAGTGTCTATTTTAATGTTTGTATGCCACGCTGTTGCACAGAGTATCATTTTGTGTTAGGAGAGAGGAGAATCGTAGATATTTCAAACATAAAACATTGTTGAGTTTGCAACGCCAGTAAAAAGTGTCTTGAGAAGTCACCGTTTTTTGTGTTTCTTGTGTTGTTTTTTGTAAATGTTTTCAGCATGTAATAAGGGGATTTATTTATTCCTCAGGTGGAACTTCCTCAGCCTCATCACCATACGGACGATTATTGTGCTTCGCCGACCAACGCGGCATTTGAAACAGTGCCCAAAACGGAATAATCATCATGACCAGGATCGATCCCCCGCCCATGATTAACTTCTGAGCCGCGGACATTGGAAAGCGCGGCGGTCCACAAATGGCCGCATGACGACGCACGTGCTGCAGCTGGGCACCGATTCCGACTCCGACTCCAGCTCCGAGGCACATCCTCTGGGCTTGACCGATGGGCGCACTGCGGCGTGTAATGGGAACCAACAAAAGTTTGCTCTTCAATGGGAGACTCATTTTGTGTGCTAGAGCCAAAAAAAAAAAGAAGATTGAAAACACATAAAATACATTGAAAAATCATAAGATATTTATTTATTAAATATTTACTGAAATTTTAAACAGTTGTTGTATTGAGAAAAATCTGAGTAAGTGAAATGAAAGCAAATATGTAAGTTAACTGAAAATGAGTACGGAAAAATCAAAAGCCTACTATGAGACAAAGAAAAAATCAGGAAACATTCAAAAGGGTTCAAATGTGCAATATGAAAAGGTTAAATAAGCATTAAAAATGCTAATAAAAGTGTTTTGACTGCCGTCCGTGTCTGTGTCGGTTGCCTGCGGGGGCTTTCTTTAAATTTCAATTTGATTTGCGCACAACAATGTTGCAAGTAATAAGACAAAGAAAGAAAAATACAAATAAAAACAAAAATCAAAAGGCGATGAGAAATTATTACATTTGCCATTGCGTGCACAAACAATTGACTTTTTTCGCCTCGTGCGACAGCTGTCAGCGGCACGAGAAGAGATCAGATGATTACATAAATACCGAAATGGAATTCATAAGCGGCAGCGGTCGCTGAAATCAACTGAAGCCCAGATTAGTCGCAAGGAGGCTTAGTTGTCTGCCTGTTGCTTAGCCGAGGGCAATTTGCAAACGCTGCTTGCGATAATAAAAATTTTTTAAAAAATTAAGAGCGCAACAGAGCTGCCAGCATGCGTGGTTGTTGCACAGGCTAAGTTCATTACAATTATCGATAATATTCGTGCGAACATTTCACATATTGCGCCTAATTGTTACACTACCACATTTCTTATCAGCAAGTACATTGTGTAAGCAATTGGCTGCCATTTGATTTTTAGTTTGCACTGAAGTAAGAATAGCTTTGCTTGGCATGCTAGCTCAAATGCTCTTCACTGGTTTTTGAAAATTGGCGCTACATGCAGATGTTAACTATTTCGCGCTGCTAATAACATTGGAGCAAATGTTAACACAGCTGTTCGCTGCTGTTAGTGTTGCTTAATTTGGCAAAACAACTGGAAAGAAGCACAAACCAAAACAATGCACGAAGCAAATGCACACAAAGCGCGTATAACGCAAATTGAGGAATTTATTAACGATGTGCTTAAGGAGGATCTTAAGCAGCTGGAGCACCACCTCAATCAGTTCAACGAGGAGATCATGGAATTTGTACAATTAAAGAACACACTGCAAACCTTTGGCGACCACATGCCGGATGGCTACAAAACGCAACTTAACATTGGCAGCAACATTTTCATGCAGGCGCGCGTCAAGCAAATGGACAAAATACTTGTCAATGTGGGCAAAGGTGTCTATCTGGAAATGAGCATGGAGGAGGCGATACACTACAGTGATGTGCGCATCAAGATTCTCACCAAACAGGCGGACGTGGTTCGCGATGAGAGCATTAAGAAGCGCTCCCAAATCAAGATGTCCCTGATAGCGATCAGTGAGCGGGAGAAACTTCTGCAGCAACTGGACGAAAGATAGTCAATTGTGAATATCGAACAATGATTAGGATTGGTTGTATCAGAAATTGCTTATTGATGTAATACGATTCTTAATAGAGTTAAGTGAATATGATTATTAACTTTTATTTTTGATATTAATGAAGTTTTCAATTTGTCCCATTGAATAGAATAAACTAGAAAAAATGCGAAGTTCTATAATTTTATCATTATGAAAAAGAAATCTTTATAATTGAAATCAAATTTATTGCGCATAAATTTTTACAGAAGCACACATAATTTTTTGCAGCTTAAAACTTGAAATTTACAATTGTTGGCCGAAAATGTGACTTAAACACCAAATACAAAACAACTAAAATGCAAGTGGAAATTGAACTGGCAATGAACCACAAGTAAATCGAACGATGAAGATGCTGCCCTACTCCACAGATCAAGTCCGATGCGTTTGTAATGTGGCTGGTGCGGGATGACTTTGCTGACTGCCACCGCCAGGAAATCGTTGCGGAGATTGACCACTGTTCGGATCCACATCTTTGCCGTCATTGAGTGCTCTGTTCTGCTCCGTGAGGCGCTGCGATGTGACGCACATAAGCCTCAAGCGATTGGTCATCTGCGGATTAAGAATGTGAATTGTTTTAGAAAAGCTCAACAATGATGGATTTGAACTCATGTTGGCTGTTAACTGGTAGGAAACGGGGAGCTTTGGAGGTTGGTGAGAGAGGTTGGAGGCGGCAACATTAGCTTGGTAATCACTCACATCGTCGTGCACCTCCTGTCCCCTTTGGACAACAGCGCTCGGATGGTCGTAATTGGTCGAGGAAAGGCGACCATCGACGGCATTCTTCACCCGGCGCAATTCCACATCGAGCAGGCGGTAATCCCTAAATAGGCGCTGGTACTCATCGCACTGATGGTGGCTCTGCTCCATCAGCATGTTGATGTGTTCCTTATGACGTTGGATGCACTGGCGCATTGCTTCGTCAGATCGCACCTGGGCATCCTTCCAATTGCGAAACGTGTCGATAATCAGTTGCTGCTGCTCGGTCACGTTCTGCTGTTGGCTACAGTTTTGAGAGGGGAGTTCAAACTGTTGGGACATGCTATCGGATCAACTGCACCGCATACATACTTCAACTTGATCTGCATTTCCTTGCACCTGCAGTGGGCGGCTCGAATTTCCATTCGGATATCCTCGTTGGCCCGGACCAAACCATCTAGCATGTCCTTGTCCTGGGCCTTCTCCCTTTTGAATTGAGCACGCATTTCCCAGCGGAGGCAACGAGCCTTATCCACTTCCTGCTGACAGGCTCTCAGCTGCTCGTTGAGTGCTCGCTCCCGTCCCGTGCTCTGCGCGTCCTTTTCCTTCAGTGATATAATCTCCTCACGCAGCAGATTGCGCTACATTCGTGGTGAAAATATATGCGATATCATTTTGCTCTATAATCTCGGTATACTCACCTCCGCTTTGAGTTCGTCCTGCTGTTTTTCCACTTGACCAAGTCGATCCTCAAGGCTTTGCGCAATGCGATTTGCTCGTTTCAGCGCCTTGCTCTGCTCTTCAAAGCTATTCTCTAGATCATCATAGTTCTTGTATAGGTTTTGTTGCTCTTCCTCTTGCACTTTTAGTAGACTAGAGATTTTGACCACTTTTTGTGATAGTTCATCTGACAGCGATCAGCAATATTTGGGTGTTAAATTATATATAAATTTGATGACAATCTAAATGAACTAATTTAGCTCACATTTCATTTGCTCAAGTGCGCGTATTTGGTTCTTGACTCGACAGGTCTCATCGGCGCTAGCATCAATCGTGGATTGCAACTCTTCAATTCTATGATCACGATCTGCCAGTGCATTCTGTAGCCCAAGTATCTGGCACACCAACTCTTCATTCTACAAAAAAATATGTAAAAATAAATATAAAATAAATGTGTTTATATTCAAGGAACGCTTTTATAGTACTAGAATAAATAATACTTGTCAACTGCAGAGTTTTCCAAAGAAATTTGCAACAAAAAATCAAATAAAATAATCAACCAAATAACTGAAAAATATAAAAAATATTCGACCTGGAGCCAGCAAGAAGCATATTAAAGTTGTAACCAGGGGGTCGCCAGACATTGGGCAATCATAAGTGCAATAAAGACAAAAAAAAATTGTTTTAAGCTTAAAATATCAAACCAAAAATGAATTGCAAAAACTGCCATAAAAAAAAACGAATCAAAATTCTTGGGTTTTTGTAAATTCTTGTCAATGCCCAACTTGTTGCTCCAGTTTATTGACGCCGATCCGTGACGGTTCCTCGCAGCACTGCTCCGAATCGTTAGCTAAAAGCTCATTCTGTTGTTGCTGCTGCTGTTGCTGCTGCTGTTGCTCCACTTGTTCGGTTAGCTCCTCGAGATCACGTCGGAACTCCTCAATGATGCTCAGATAATTGTCACGTGTGGCCTGCAGTATCTCCGACTGGGTCTGGCAATGTAGGAGAGTGTGCTCCAACTGCTGTCGATGCGGACAATCCGCACCAATATCTGTCTGCAAGCCAAACTGAACTCTATAGCATCGACAGACAAACTAAATCAAAAAACTTCTAGCTTACCATGTCAATTATTTTGGTGCTGGTTCTAAGCAAGCAACACTTCTCAATTGATTGATATATCTGTCTCAGCTGTCAATTTATGAAGCTTGTTTATATTTTTTGCCTGTTGTTTGGGAGATTTGAATGATTTTTGGGCTTTCGTGTCGATATCAAATTGCAGTCCGCTCAAAATATTTATAAATGCCATGTATTTTGGCTTCATTACCATTTCATTGCATTTCAATAATATCGCTATTAAAACTTTGTCACGAAAATAAAAGCAAGTCGAATCGGGCGAAGGTGGCTAAGTTTCAGGTTTCAAAGTTCCAATTCTTTGGCACTTTCGCCCACACACACACCACACACACACACAAACACACACACCACACACACACACTCACACACAAACACACACACACCACACACATACACAGCACCACCTACGCCAGCCCCAAAGTTGTTAGTCTGGCTTGAATAGTTTTATAGATGTGTATTATTATATTTGTGCCGTTTGCCGTTGACTGTTTGACACGGATTTGAAAATAAACTTGCCGCGCGAGCTATTAAATAAATATTATTATTATTATTATTTGCATAGGTGTCTGGCAAAATGTGGCTGTGTGCGCTTAAAGCACTCTTAAAGTTCTATTGTGGCAGACTGGGTTTTCCTTGGCGAATATATCGATTTCAGCATTTTTCGAAACTGACATAAATATTAGTTCAACCCGAGTTTGATTTGAATTAATTGTGATTAAAACTCCGTGATAAGCCCTGTCGTCAAACACACAACATGGCATATACAAGCTGATCCATTCATGCCACCCACTCAACTTTTTTGGAGCACCGTAATTTGTACATTTACAGCTACTTTGGCAGCTTGTTGTCTGTTGTGGCGTTTCATTGGCTCCACTTGAAAACAATTTGCACTTTTTGGGCAACTTTTGCGGCTGGTTGGTTGATAGTTGGCTGGATAAACTTTTGTTAATTGCACACGAATTATTGTTGCCTTGCCACCTGGCAAATATTATCGCCCAGACAGTTCACAGTTCACAGTGTTGCTTGGTGTGTTGTTGTTGCCACAGGAGCAGCCGGCGTTGCGGGAGCAGCTAATTAAGTCACGTAAATAATTGTTTTATGTCATGATTTTGGGTAGACGCCCGATTTAGAGGAACATTGGCAACACCATTGCTGATTATTATATTCGCCGATTTCATATTGCCCCAACTGGATTTCCGTTTCGGTATTCTGTTCCGCCGACAGCTTTCATTTGTTTCACGCGAATAAACAGCAACGTTGACTATGAGACCGACTGACTGACTGACTCCCGGCTACTACTATTCATCCCGCTGCTCCCCGTCCCCCTTCAATCCCTCAATCCCTCCTTCTACTCGTGCAATGCTCATCGATATGCATATCAGCGCTCGCAGCTCGCGTGTCGATTGTGGGTAAATAAATAACACGAAACCCATTTTGCGCTCCTAGCTGCAGATGCGGAGGGAAGAGTGGCTAACCCGCCTCTCAGAGTTCACTCCGATTGCAGTTGAACTCGCTGGAATTCCAAGCGATTTGTATTTGTCCAATGTAAACAAAGAGTAAGTATTCGCTTCGACAGGTTCGCAAGTAATCTTTGTTTTTTTTACGTTTTTTCTTTTACAAAATATATGAATGTATACATAAATCAAGCGACTCGAATGGCAATATACTTGAACTGTCGGGAAACTGAAGCATTTTATATATAAGAACATCTGTATATATATTTATATATATATATACACATATATAACAGTAAGTTTCTTTTCAAGGAATGCAGTTTTAATGCCTATAATGCATGAGAGGGTCGTGTTTATCAAAAGAAAATAGTCGGGGAAATGGAAAATACAAAGTGAGCTCATTCGTCTATTAGTTCAGGAAAGGGGTCTCTCTGCCAGATAAAAACTATATATAAAAATAACTAAATCTATCGTTGATTGTTTGTTGTCATAAGTAGCTTAAGACTTAATACCGGTTTCAGCATTTCAATGCTATAATTTAAAGATCTTAAAAACCGGAAACCAGCGGATATCCGACAGACTTGAGTTTAACAAAACCAGATTCATATTGTGGCTGAATTTGTTGCAACTATTGATACAGTCATCGCAGCCCTCGCTTGCTCAACAATTTGCATGTGTAGGGCAAATTCAGTGTTGCACTTAAATAGAAAAAATACATATATATATATATATATACATATATATATCTGCTTTAGTATATGTACATATATTAGTATAGAGTAAACAAACAGTGCTCCTTTTGTAACATTTTCCCTTAGATTTTGGCGGGAACTTACAATGGCTGATGAAAACTTATGACTAAAGTTCACTTTTGGGTAACTTCAAGCTATTGTTGTCTTACAAGTGTAAAGTTAGCTCAATTAAACTTAACTTAAACTATGCTTAAGCAGGGGAGGAACCAACGACTCTTTGGGCTCTAGTCGAAAGTTGTTGTTGTTATTGTTGTTGTTGTGGTTGTCTTTGTTATCGCCTGTGTTGTGGGGGCTGGTGCTTTGCACTCGCTGTTGCTGGGCTGCATTTGTTAAAGAATTTTGATAAGAACTCTTGTGGTATACATCGGTATATATATATATGTATATAAATACACACATAATTACTCATCAGATACGATAAATTGTTAATTTATACATTTACTTACTGTAAGCATCTGGTGCTGTTGCTCCTGATTGCTTTCCAGCGTTTTCAGTTTCTCGTACATCTTCAAAATTCCCATACAATATGGATTGTTGGTGGACATTTCGGTATCCATTTCCTCGTCTGTTAAATTTGAGCATTGCTAATGGGACAGAAATTCAAGTATTTTATTGAATATTTGTTAGATTTTTACGTTTTCAGTTACAACTCGCACACAAATTTAATTTATTAATTGTTGTGGTAATTCAGTTTGAGTTATTATGGATGCAAATAGCTTAACTATTCATAATAATCGTGATGTTTCATAACTAACTTTTTAAGGCCTAAGTTTACTTTTGCGTTTATTGAAAGGCAAACGAAAAAATCGACAAGTTTTTTGTCGGCCTTTCAAAACACCCAACAATTCGACAATAATATTTATTTTTAATTGTGCCATGAAACACCTGAAAACTAAGTGCCAAAAACTTATCCGATTTTGAAAAGCAAAGGGCTTCTTGATCATGGTTTGGGCTCTAGATTCTATATTCTAAAGTTGACTTACCAGCTTGGATAGCAGATCGGCAATCTGTCTCAATACCTCTTGATTCTTAAGACTTATGGAATGCTCGTTGTCGCTTGTGCAACGCAGCTCTAGAATTTCAACTATAAATTTTGGGAATGCGATTAACTTTGTAATTCTCGTTAAATTTGAATACGCACCTTCGGTGAGCTGGCATCTGTTGTTCAGCTCCTTGTTGGCTTCATTCATGGAGTACAGGCGGCGACGCAATCCATCGATTAGCTGTCTATCCATATCATCATCGGTGGCTTGTGTGCTGCAGGCCAACGGAATATCCAGCTGACTCCAGTTGCAGTCCAGATTCCGGAGCTGACCCCGCAAGTTATCCAGCTTCTGCAGCGTTTCGGCTCGATTTGAGTTCTGAGAAAGCGAAGTAGAAGTAGAAGTTGTAGAGAAAGATCCAAAATAGTGAGGATATTTGCGATGACCTACGATTCTGTCGAATAAGCAGGAAAGTATCTTTCGGCGGGACTCCATAGCGGCAAAGTCCTTCTTGCTGATTAGATCGATGAACTCGGCCAGCTCCCGGTTGAGCATGCGCAGCAATTCGCTTGCCTGTTTCTCCTTCTCGCTGAGGCCATCGAATAGGCAGCTGGTGTAGTCCATGTTATCGAAGTCCCCATTATAATCCAGAGCATCCACGATTCTCGCCTTGTTGGAATCTTGAGTCATTTTTGACAGGCAATCTTGTAGTTCCGTCAACTAATCAGAGTTATAAAAATATTATTTGTGTGTTTCAATAAGTCAATTTTTTTCTATAAAATAGTTTCCTATTTGATAATAAAATTGGAAGTTTTGGCAATATCGGCCACATAGGATTCCTCACATAAATATAAATTTCATATTTATATTCTTAAATTCTTAGAATATATTAAAAGGAAATTTCTTGGGCTTGGCAAATAATTGCTTACCTGTTGATTGAGCTGTGCTATACACTTGTCCTTGAGGATGATCTTTTGCCGCGCCGTTTGGACCACTTCGTCCAGTGCACCCATCTGGGCCTTCAGATAACAGACTTCATCATGCTTGGCAGCCATCTCGTTGGCCAGAGATTTCATGCATTTGGTAACCTGAAATCAAACATTTGCGCATATAATAAACACATTTGAAATCGTGACATGAAACGTCTAAATTAATCCGAAGCTACTTTATTTAAATCACAAAAAATACAAGAACAAACAACAGAATAACAATAATTAAATCAGTTCAGACGGAAAACTAACTTAAGCTGTTTTGATTCCTTCTTGTTTTTAGAATCTTCGTCGCTATAGAAGAGCACAAGCTGGTTTTCAATGAGCCACTTAGTTGCTAAATAGCCAACCTACCTCACTTTCCGGACGGCACTGATCGGCCTGAGTGCCCAGCAGCTGATCGACTGTCATTGTCTCCAGGGTTATATCATCCGTGTTCCAGTTGCTACGATGATAGGCCTCTTGAACCAATCGAATAATGGCACACATATCTTTTCGTATCTTGCGATTCTCATCCAGGACATCATGCTGCTCCCCACGCACCGACTGAAAACAGCTCACAGTCTTCTTGTAGGCCTCCAGCTCCACGGCGGGCATATTGCCCAAGAGAACTTGGTTAACATGCATCAGCATATCCACCCAATCCTGGTATGTCGCCAGGCGCAGCTGCTGTACCAAAAGCTGCAACCATTTATAATAATAATGATAGGCATATGAAACAGGTATTTTGTCTTACCGAATCTCCGCTGCCCTGTTGATCCATGCAATCGATGTCCTTGAGTCGCTTAAAGAATATGCTATTTATCTTAAAGGTCATCATGCCCTCATCACCGCATGACTCGCGCAGCTTCTTCAGTTTGTTGAGAAATAGATCCGTGGATAGAGGCTCTGGAAGTGATCTGGTGCACATACAGCTGCAACCCGCTACGTCATCAGTGGCATCTCTTAAGCTGCATGTTGCATGGGGCGGTGCCTTCAATTCCAGCTCATTTTGTGTCTGTATTTGGTATGGTTTCTGTTCATCCTTAAATTTATCCGCTTGCTCACTGCTCGCAGTGCTCTCTGGCTCGCCCTTCACCTGTTTCACTTCCTCATCATCCATCACTTGCTCCTGCTCTAGTCTTTGCTGTTCCTCCGCCTGTGAATGGGTCGGAGACAAGCCCATTGTGGCTGCATTTATGCATAAAACTTGACGTTGGCTCATTGCAAGGAAGTTATTGTGGAATCAAATAAAAATTAAAATTTGTTTCCAGAAAAAAATTAATATACAAGCCGAGAGATTTGTCTATTCAATGTCTGGTTAAAAAAAAAGTGAATGCCGACAATCTGAAAGTGTCAGGCAATAGGCCTACTTGGATTCGATCGGTTTTCGTTCAGAGACTCCAAATGCAGTTTTCCTCACTGTAAATCACGCTTTTCTAAGGTCACTAACTTTACACACGCAACCGTTAAAATACAACACAAAAAAAGAAAACAGAAAACAAAAACATAACAACAATCATCGAGTAACAGCAACAAATGTTAATAAAAATTGAAAAAAAAAACGGAAAAAAATGAAAAAAATTATATTTCAATTCGTCTAACGTTCAAGCGAACCTTGGCAACGACGCTGGCGTTGAAAGTGACTGCGGCAGAGTCGGCGTCGGCGTCGGTGTCGGCGGCGTGTTCATATCTTTTGTTTGTAGTCTTCTGACGTAGGTTTGTTTATTTTCATAAGCGTTCTACATATGTATAAATTCAAATATATATATATATATATATGTATAAATATTCTTGTTTTTTTTTTTGTTTTGGCTTTTTTGCCACACACACGAGCACGAGACGGTCTCGGTTTTTTAGTTTTCAGCTTCAGCTTCAGCTTTTGGTTACGATTTCAGCTTTCTCACTCCCGAGTGTTCCGCAATTTCAATTCCAATTCCACGACCGCGTTCTGCCCGGTGCGCTTGGTGACCGAACGGCAACTGAGCGAGCACAGAAATATGTGCGTCTGAAGTGCACACGACTTATGAGTTACGAGCACACACACGAGTTGCAGGGTTACGAATATGGGCAATATCACTTGCCTATACCCTTTACCCAATAGCGCGACTAAACTGGGTATCACTCCAATAACTTTCTGTTGCATTATAACAAAAAAAAAAGGTATGCGCTTGGCGCGATTCGTGTCAGCATTACTATATATATCTATCAATAATTCAAATTACATCCAATTTATGATTACCGTGTATGTTACCCGTCTAACCGTAGACGAATCGCTTACAGGGTATTTTCCAGTAAGCCTCTACAACTAAGCAGTATTGACGTGATTTTTTTTTTAGAGATTTGCTGCTCCAATTGAGCGCTTCTCTCTCTCTCTCGGTCTCGCCCTCTCTCTCACACACAGCTATGCACACGCGCTTGGGCTTGGCCTTATCAGTGTGTCAGATCGAATCGAATTGAATCGGCATCAGAATCTCAACTGGAATCAGCGTCTCCGTCTGCGTGTTAGTGTCTGTGTTTGCCCAAGAACTTAGCATATTTATTTTACAAATCACAAAGCAACTCATTTCTATTTGCGCCGCTTCGTGACGCCGGCCGGCCGGCCGAGCGGTAGGCGGTACGAAATTTTTTATCAATTTAATTGATAAATAATTATAATTTGCCAACCTATTTGCTAGTTAGATAAGTTTATTTACAATAATATGTTGCCGAGCTGAGACGCTTGCTATTCGTTACAAATATCATAAGCAGAATGATAAAATTATAAAAAAAATAAATAAAAATTAAAATTATAAAGCAAAGCAATTGTATTTTACAAGGCTTATAAAAAAGAAAAGTTTATTAAGTCCTCATAAATTTATAAAACTTCACTATGAAACATTTTAATAATGGAATACCGTGGAACTATCCGCTGTTGATGTTGTCCTGGAAATGGGGTCCCGCTTTGGCTGTTGGCTGCAGCATTGTCATGAAGCCGGCCGAGCAGACACCTCTGACTGCCCTGCACATGGCTGCACTGGCCAAGGAAACCGGCTTCCCGGCGGGCGTCGTCAATGTGATCAACGGCTAATACAATAAAATTTTTTTAATTTTTTAATTGGTGCCTTGAATTTCTGTAAATTTTCAGCTTTACTATTGATAGGACTAGGATCCTTCAAACAGTTGTTATAGAACTAGTGTTTTAAAAAATAAAATTTCTCATAGCTCGGTCATATCCTTGCAGATCCTGGCGAGTCCTAAGTCAAAAACTTTGTTTTGATCATTGCTATCAACTGGAGAAAGTACATCCAAATCGTCTGCGAATAAAGGTTTTCGGATTTGAGTTAAGTTTGTCCTGCGTGTGAAATATTTACATGTATTTGGGTTCGCAGATAAGTTGGAAACTAGGTTCTTAAACACACCATGACCTTCCAAAATTAACAGGGATAAGTCCGATTTGGAGCATCTATGCTCATCGCATGTTTTTGCCTAAGAGTATGTTGCAATATTTTATGTTTTTTTAGCCAATTCAGCAACCAGGTGCATGCACATGCTATCCCAAACAGCTGCCAGCAAAGAAAACAATGCAAAGTGACACATTTCCCGCCCGGAAAAGAGAAAAGTTTATTGTTACTCTTTTGAAAATTTCATATTAAATACGAACACTGTAAATTTTAACGCTCATATACGTTTTATTTATATTATTTTCCATACATAAGAACAAAAATTTATGTACAATTTTTTTATACGCTTTTTTTTTTGCTCCTTTGACTCCATTCATACGCTTATATTAGTAAATGGACTCTCACATAATGTTGCAGTAAATTTTCATGTTTCTTCCTTACTTAATATTTCAAAGTTTAAGATTTAAAAAAAAAAAAGCAAAAATATGCAAAAACAAATATCTGTTGAATATATATCAACTATATTGGTATGGATTTAGGTCCATTGTTCCACCAATCAAATAGTAGATAAACCACTGTCGTACATTTATTTAGTTTTCATTAGTTTTATAAGCCTGGTCACGAGTATGTGTGAAGTTAGGTATTTAAAAAATCGATTTAAAAATGTGTTTAGATCTTAAAGTCTGTTCACGAGAATCTCAAAAATTTGCTTGTGGTTTTTAATATGTTTGGGTTGGTTTTTGCTTTTTCGACGGCTCGAGAGTTACGTAAAAATGTACATGAAACGCTCACTAAATTTATTATTCATTTATAAATTTATTATTTTAGCTAAAATTTATACTGCTGCTTAGAATTAAGTTTTGCATTATGCATTAATTCTTACGTTTGCTTCGCTTACGCTTCTCAATCCAGTGTGTGTATGTGTGTGTGTTTGGGTATGAATGTGTATGGATGTGCATGGGCGTGTAAATGTGTGTGAGTGTGTGTGGATGTGTGTTGTGGACTTATTGCTATACATTTTGTTATTGTTGCTAAATTGTTAACTTGTGGCGCATGGTTTGTGCCTCAAAACCGAGCAAAATTGTGAAGAACGAATAGGAGTGTGAAATAATAAGATTCAAGGAATTTAGAGAATAGTCGAAATTATTTTATAGAAAGCAATGGCATTGGGGAGATAGAGCGGAGAATGCAATCATTTGTAGATTAGCAGTAACTGTTCAATTTTTAACGTGTCAGGCTTACAAATTTCGCGCTTGTCTATTGAGTTATATAATTGTTGTTACATCTTGGTCAAAATATAGGATTGCACTTTGAATGCTTGCTGTTGCATTGGCGCTGAATTGAAACTGGCTTTTTTCTTTTAACCGAATAATTGTGGAAGTTGAAAATTGGATTGGCTTGAGATTGCAAAATGATGAGTATGGTGCCCACGGATTAAATGAGTGATGGGATGCGAACGTCATTTAAGCCAAGTAAATGTACACCTTACGATCCTCCGGCGTTCGCGCCAGATATTCACGCTCGATAAGGCCTTCGATGCGCTTTTTAATGAACACGGGCGAGGGCAAGAAACGTGACTTCAACTGCGACGTTACGTCCGATACAAGAAGATTATGCTGTGTGCATTGCAAGAGATTGCGAAATTGATTAGTTGTTATTGTCGAAATTAATTGCAAGATTAAATAATTTACCGCCATGCGTTTGCGCGCCTTCATAATGCGTACAATGGCCGCTTCAATTTCATGCTTGCGGTCCTCATCCACTTTGCCGCGCGTCTCCTTCCGTTCCGGCTCCGATTCGCCCTTGGCAGCAACAGTTTGTATCTTCACTCTGGAAGCCGCGGTCAAGAAATGAGTAGTTTAAGTTAATTGTAAGTGAAAATTAAATTATTTGTGGCACCTATGGAATTTGGAGACAAATGCATCGTTCACATAAAACTCGTCCGAAGGCTCAATATCCTTTGTTTTCGTCTTGGAATTGCGCACAAGCAACCGCTGTGCAGGCTTACCCATCGACAGCGATTGCAGTGCGCGCACCAGCTCGCGCTCGGGTATATCCGTCTCTTGGTGTATATCATCATAGGTTAGCACATCCCGATTGTTGTACAACAACAAAACGCACATCTACAAACGGATCGTGTATAACAATGATAGAATTCAAGTAATCTGATTGATTTACTCACCTGATAGGTAGACACTTGCAATATATGCTTGCGCGTTGTGGTGGGCACTGCGCAGCCACTTGAACTTGAGCTTGGCCCATCCTTGTCCTTGTCGCTGTCGTTCGCTTTGCGGCCATAGAATACGGCATTTATGTACGCAGTTCCTGTGTTTCAAATTAAATAACCAATACTGTGAGTACAAAGTAAATGGAGCTGTGCCGCCGAAGCACAATGCTAATGCTAACTCACCCATTTGCGGCTGTAACGTCAGCTGCCGACCCGAGTGCTTGTCCAGATAGAACTTCTTAAACACCTCAAAAGCCTCGCGCGGCGCCGAGGGTATGTTGCAATTGGGCGTTGCCGTCTGTTGTTTAAGGGCAAATCTCACGATTAGTAATCATTATGATAAATAGTTGTTTGGAAGTGTACCTGTGTGGGCCAAAATCCGGTGGTCAGTATGCGCACGGTAAGCTCCACGCCGCTCAATGAGAAACTATTATTATTTACATAATTCTTAAACTCATCCATAATCGTATTGGAGACGGACATATCCTTGAACATGCCCTCCAGTTTTGATGTAAATTGACAGCCACATTCAGTCTATAACCAGAATGAAGAAACGGTCAGAGGATTGTTGAACATTTTGGTTAGTTTGTTACACTTGCCTTTAGTTTGGATATCATGTTCTTTTCAAAATCATCTGATACTGATTTGTTGAGCAGCAAACGTTTGGCCAAATGCGTTTTGTAGTAGCGCTCAAAAACATCCTTTTCAAGTAGGAAGCGGAAGAGGACCATCGTTTTATCCAGTATGGTTTCAATTTCCTGCTCACTCATCTGTAAGAATTATTATTTAATAACGATAACAAAATGAACGAATTTAAGGAAATAATATATTGCAATACTTACACCCTTGCCACCTTTTTTCAGTTTGTCATCGATGAAGAGCGAAAGATACTCGGGTGATTTGTTGTTCAGATTGAGAAAGTGTTCAAAGTCAGCGGAAATAACATTCTTGAAGAGCCGATCATTGCTGAATGAATGGAGCAGAAATTGATCGAATCTATCCTTCAGATCGAGCAAGTTTTGCACAAATGTTATGGGATTTGTGGTGCCATTCTCCTCTTCCTTGACCAGCATGCTGCCCTGTTCGCGCAGATACGCAGACATTGTGTCCGCTATCACTTTGAGGCCCTCATCCTTTAGACGTGAGAACAATTTATACGTGCATGCTAAGTCCTCGGTTTTCGAGTTCTTAATCATATGCACCACACCCGAATTTTCCATTTCGACAATGGTACGCATGTGTTTCTTAATAAGCTCCTCTTCAACGACACGCACAATGCGAGGCTCCGTATCCTTGTCCAAATATAGTGTCGCACGTGACGATTCCTCGGTGATGCGTGCCTCCACTTTCTTGATATAAACGCCAGCGTTGTTCTCCTCAAGAAATTTCTGCGATTCGTTTCGGTAAAAGGACGCCGACTGCGCCAGGAAAGGCTTCTCAAAGTCTTCCTCGTAAACGGTTCGCGAATTGATACCCAATGTTATCAGCATCGTGCAGGCATTCTTGATTGCCAAGTGATTGATCGGTTCGCCCCTGCGCTCCTCTATAACCATGCCCAATAGTCTATCCCGTAGCGCTTTTTGAATCTCCGGAAAACGAACGATCTAGATGAGAATGAAAGGAAGCACAAATTATTATTGAGATCCCCCTCGAAGTACTAGGTGACTTACCTGATCCCTGAATAAGTTAAGACCCAAATTATAGACATTATCCAATCCACGTTGGTGCACATAGACACGGTCCATGTACATGAGTATGTCGCGTATCATGACCATTGAGGTCTGATGATCGGTCCATGCCTGATTTAGTTTGGACAGAAATGTGCTGTTCAAACTCTCGAGCACATCTTGTCGCACCTTCTGCTCCAGATGCTCCGAGACGACGTTGCTCAGTCCATTGTACAGGCGATTGCCATGCTTATGCAGCACCATATTGTAGGCATTGCGATAGAGCTGTTCGAAGGACAGGCCCGAATTGTTCTTCTTTTGTATCTCCTGTATGGCATTCTTCAAGGTGGCCCAAATGTCATCCACATACTTCTCATCCATGGAGGCCTGCACGACAAGAGGGAAAAAGAGGTTAGATAGTTATCAATTTTACTTGAAATATTCTTTTTGTTTGCGGAGCTGTGGAGGAGCTAACATTAAATGCGCGACGCTTATATTCGGGCAGCCACAATGGATACTTGCGTCCGATTTCGCGCAATCTTACTGGCCCGGCAACAGATACCACTGACAAAGTCGACCTTAGTGACTGCTCACAGTGATGCGGCGGCCCATTGGCTGAGGTGCCGGGCGTGGGACATGCACTGAAACGGGACACTGGCTGAGTTGCTTCCACATTCAGCGGCACATTCAAGTGCTGAGAGCGCAGATGATGATGCTGCTGCGGCTGCTGCCCAAGGGCATTGCGTGCGCTGCGAGGGCGTTGATTGAAATTATTCGAGCCGCCGACAATGCGCGAATGAGGCGACGTTGATTGTTGTGGATAATAGTGATATAGTGGTTGAGTCGGGCTGCTGGTATTAATTGGCTGGCTGTTGCTAGACGGCGTTGCATGCGGCGCTGCGGCAGCACCAAAGAGACTAATCCTTGGATCATAACTGTACATTTGGGATGATTGTAATGATCCTGGAACACGCGCGCCACAGGCTCCACGATGGGAGCCCAGCGCACGCTCCCAACTGTATCGGTGCTCCCCAATTATGTATTGAGCCTGGCAAATTGCCAGTTGCTGTTCCTCCTCCGGCGGCTGTTGCTGCTGTTGTTGTTGATCTTGCCCTGCCGCCTGTTGACTACAGGGAATTTGTTGGTGTTGGTCCGCTGGTGATGTACGGGAGCGGCTGCCGCTTGTTGGCCTTATTGACATCCGCTTGGTGGCGTTAGCGTCCCACAATCGTCGAAATGTCGTCGCCTGCGCTCGGCATCAAAGCGTTTCCTTCTGCTCTGCTGCGTTACTGTGCTTTTTTGTTTTTTTTTGTATGTTGGAAAACAACAACAATTTGTCGAAACTAAGTTGAGATTGAGAGTAAACTTAAAAACTAAAATGAGATGAACCTTTTTTTTTCATCAATTTCAACTCTGACAGAATTATGGCGAATCAGTGTTAGACAGTGTTGCCAGCCTGCTTAGCCAGTGCCAGAGAGGGAGGGATCACTTATCTTTATATACTCCTATATCTTATCGCATTTCACAACTTAATGCTGTCTCACGCTCCAACCGGCAAATTTGTTGTTTGTACAAACTTACGGGAAAGGCGCGAATGCGCATTTTGCCCTCCTTCTTTTGAGGATTGCCCCGAAGATTCATGTTTGGTTTTTGGCGTTGTCGACACTGCTCCTCTTCCACTTTCCCAGCTCGCTGGTACGCTCTCTGCCGGAGCGGCAGCGGCAGCGCTGCGTTCGGCTCGTTGTTCTTCTTGTAAACAAACGATTACGTCGTCGTCGTCGGCAGCGTTGTTGTTCTTGTAATTCTTTTTTCTTTGCGTTGAATAAACTTTCTGGGCGGCGGTTAACTAAAAAGGAGTACGCAAAAAAAAACGAGAGATCAGTTTATGTTCTTTATTTGTAGTGTTTATTTGCTTTTTTTTCTTTTTTTTTTGCTATTGAGGCAACTGCAAGTCAGCAGGCAGCGACCGCAGCCTGCGTCTCTTTGTCACACACATGTCTGTCTGTATCTCTTGCTCTCTCAGACACTTTCATTGTCTCCGCGGAGATCTTTTCGACTGCTTTCAGAAATTCAACTTTTTTACACACACACACAGCTAGGCAGGCAGTCACATAAAGAGAAATGTAAAAAAAAAACATAAAAACTCACACGGATTTAATTACAATTTGCCAACAAGTAATAAGTAAAATAAAGCACAATCAATGCGAGCCTGTTGGCTTTTTGTTTAAATAAGATTGTGTTCTGTTGAAAATTTTGTAGTGTTTTTTTCGCTTTTTGCTATATCACTTTTTCATAAATGGCAGAGACCAAACGCGTTTGTGTGTGTATGTTTTCGCCGTCTGCGTGTGTGTGCGCTTGTTTGTTTGTGTGTGTGTGTGTGCTGCTTTTTGTTGTGTTGTACCTTTTTAGATTTAGCGGTGTTCACTTAGCTTCTAACGAAATATCGCTGTTTTGTTACTTTTCACTTGTTTAGCATTGATGCCGTCGTTTTGTTGACAATTATAATTCTGCCTATTGCGTTATCATGCATTGCAATTTCTATTGATTATAAGTAGTTCATATGAGAAATTCGGCTGTTATGTTGTTATGCTCTGATTTTCGATATTTTGCCATTCCGATAGACGATAATGATGGCATTGCCTATAAAAGAGCTGGTCACACTCAAATTTTATGCTAGCAGAGCTGTCTTAAGTTCGTGGCATCGAAGATATTTGAGCGGTTGATTTTGTATTCACTGAGCAGACCTGCGGGAAATTCAGGATTTTTATATATAAGCTGCAATCATGTATAAGAAACTTTACATTTTGTTACCATATAGATACTGCAGATTATAAGTACCTGTTACCACAAATTCAAGATGTACAGTGTTTCAGACTGTAACGTCGGCAAACTAACAATCGATATATTGAAAAATAATCGATGTTTTGTGACATATTTAATTAACGCGCGCATCCCAAAACTATGCAACACTAAAGTGGAGCGCCAAAAAAATCAGAATTTAAAATTACATACTTATTTAATTGAATTAAAACCATTTGTTAAACAAGACAAGTGAAAGCTTGCTCTGTGCACTGGCTAATTAGTTATTTGCCAAGTGTTTCATATATCGAATCATTTTTGAATTATGACAACTTGCGGATGCACTGATAAAAAGTGTAATATGATATTTTGGGCTGATACTTTGCTGCCACAGCATGCGGCTTGTTGATAAGCAAATTGCCAAAAACTTACAACAAAGTTGTGCATATAATTTGTGTATAAATTATGCCATATTCAACTCGCCAAATTGCGTCTGTCCTGTCTGTCCGTCTCCTTGGCCCGTGCGTGTAAATTATGCACACTTTCACCGCGTTGGTTTGTAGTTGTTATTGTTGTTGTTGTTGTTACTGGTTGCTTATTGCTGGTTGTAGCTGTTGCCTTTTGTGGCATGCAGGCCTGGTCTGGCCTGGCGTCCCTTTGGTTCAGCCTGTTGCCATCTTGTTGTTGTTGTTGTTGCTGCTGTATTTGTTGGCAGTGCGTCGAAATTAATTAGCCGCACTTCAAGAGTCCGACTGCGTAGGTGTTTATGTCAAATGTCTGTCCTGCAGGACGCAGCGGGTGCTGATGCTGCCGTGGAGAGCGGGACAGGGAGGGAGGGGAGGAGGGTCATCACTTGTTGCAGTTTGTTGTCATCAATTTATGCGTATTTATTACAATATTTCCATGCATGTAAATTGTGATGTGGCTCGAATTAATTACACGCCATGCATATCAACACGAATGTTGCCAGCTCTGCGGGTGCAACAAAATGTTGCCAGGTCCGTCGCTGCCGCTGCCTAGAGTCAGTCAGTCAGTGAATGCACAAATAAAAGCAAAATATGCAACATAATAATAAATAAAAAGTCGGCAATAATCGTGCTGCATCGAGAGAGCATTCATATTCACACCAGTGCATGCTAAACAGTATGTGCAACAAGGTTAATAAATCATGCAACTGCAGCCGTCGAGTGTCAGACAAATTCACTGAAATTTCAATGAAAAAATCAAAACAAATGCTGAACAAAACGGAGCTCAGTCCCAAAAATGGTAGTACGTATGTTTATACGACCATTGCCTAAAAGGCTGCCGCATCAATATGGAGCATGCATAATCCAATAGCAACAGCAACAACAGCAACAACAGCAACAACAGCGGCAACAACTACGAGTTACAACTTGTCGGCATTATGAATAACTTTTGAATTTGAATGTGAAATAAACGCTTTGTCTAAGCTGGCTGGCTAACCGGCTACCGTTAGCAACATGGCCAAAAGTTGTGGCGAATGTTGCCAATGATTTATGCAGCAACATTTGATGAAATATAATACAAAAGGCGCACAGCAACAAAAGCAACAACAGCATCAACAAGTACAACAACAATAACGGCCAAAACAAAGATAAATTGCTGGTGCAGCAAATTGTAAACTATATAAGGTTTAAATGCAAAGTTTCGGGCTGTCCTACACTCAAAAAACCAAGTACAGTTTTTTATTCTATAATAAAAACTTGGCTCAAAAACATAAAGCTACAGAAACATTGTTTTAAATTTAGAAATTTAAATAATAACTAAAATTCTTTGAGCTTTGATGTTCGATTAATTTTTTTTATTTAAATCAAAAATATATTTTGTAATATTAAAAACATTTTCTGATACAAAATATATATATATTTTTTTAGCAGTTTGTTTTTTAAGTGTACAAAAGAGTCAAAGTGGCGCTTGTTAATAGTTTTCGCAGCAACAATTAATCAATTGTTGCAAGTGGCGCTGATTTTCGTACATGTGTTCCTTGTGCTGCTGGTTATTTTAAAGACACGAAAGTTGTACAACAACTAAAATACTATCCAGATGAACAAATAAGAACATTTTTCAAATAGCATATTTTGGAATTTGGCTTAATTAAAGAATAGATAAGCGAGTCTTTGACTAATAAACTAATACTCGTCACACGCCCATTTCCACAATAATTGATAACATCGAATTTGACTTTAATTTGAGGTTTTATTAGTTTTGCTTTGGCGTTTGGAATTTCTTATTGTGTTGTTTACGTTCACAGCTTGGATCCCTTTGATGGCTATTCAGTGGTCACGGTGTGGATGTTTCCAGTGAGAGCGATGCACTCAATCTCGACGAGGGCATCCATTGGCAGTTTGGCCACCTGGAAGCAGCTACGGGCAGGGAAATCCTTATTGAACACTGCAAAGAGAGCAGTTCGTCGCAATCGCATCGTAAATGTTTACGATTGTTGTTTGCGTAGTAAAGTTCTTATATTAGAAGTGTTGCCATGACGGCTGATAAGCCAGCAGATGCCGATGCCTTATCGGCGGCAATTGTAAATTGGACTGTTTACCTCGTTTGTACACTTCGTTGACCGCACCAAAGTCGTTGAGATCTTTCAAGAAGACGGTGTTCTTGATGACCTTATCGACGCCAGAATCGGCTGCTTTCAGCACCGCCTCCAGATTTTTGAGCGCCATCTCTGTTTGCTCAGTGGCGCCACCTGGCACCAGCTTCATAGTTGACTTGTCCAGTCCCAAACAGCCAGACACATAAACAGTGCGATCGGCAACAACAGCTTGACTGCAGTAACAACAACAACACCATAATACATATGAATTCACAGATCGAGATCTTTATTTGCTCTTGATTTGCTTACTTACTTGTATGGCGCCACCGGCTTGGCTGCGTTTGCAGTGCTGATAAGTTTACGCACAATTGTCGACATGTTAGCTAATATGTTTCTACGTATTTCACGCACCTGTTGCTTGTTTCTTGACTTCAAGCTGACTGACTATTTTTCACTTGACACTGCGAACTGCTATCAGCGAAAGCTTTCCGCAGCGCTCTCACTTTGTTCGCTCTCTTCAGATGTACACACTTTGCAACACTGTCCAACATGAGCTTTATGAACTCAATAGTTTTTAAATCTTTAACACTTTACAGCACTAAATGCATGAGCTTTTCATTAAATATGTGCATATTTTTTGTGTTGTTTTTGGTCAATTGGGTCGCAGACACTTTCTCTAGCAGCAGCAGCCAATATTTGATTTAATGCATGCCACGTCACTTCATGCGGCGGGCACGCCTTCCTCGCCCCGGCTAATTATTTATTATATTTGGCAATTGCTGTCTGTCAGTCGCTGTCAGTGAAGAAAGCACCGTTGCCAGAATTTTTACGCATGCCAAAATATGAAGCTCCATAATTATTATTATGCGATCTCCAGCTCGAAAATGTGGTTAGGGTCTTAATCTTCTTGACTTTCTGCCAGGAAAAGGCAAAAACAAAGACGAAGGAGAAGGAGAAAAAGAAGGAGAAGACGAAGAGGCTGGGTGCAGTTCTGCACCAGTGCTGGGCAGGCGTAGGTGCAACGCAGAGCACACAGAACACGCCCTGAAAAACACGCCTGCCCCAAAAAGATTGATTGCAGTCGCTTTGCTGCATTGGGGCAACCCACGAAGATGCAACGCTCAAGAAGAAATTCTTTTGTTGCCCTGCAGCGTTTTAATGTCGCATTTTAGCGCATTAATTACTTTATGATCCACTTTATGCGCATAAAATATGCGCACCATAAACTGCCTTTATTTTCATAAAAAAAATAAGCAATTTGCAGAGCATCCTCGAAAGCGTCGTGGGTGTTGACTGACTGACTGAAACTTCAGACTGAATAAACTTTGCACAGTTCAAATTGAGCATATTCTACATTGATATTAATTAGTGGAGAGTAGAGCGTGGAGAGCTTGTGGAATTGATTTATACGCATATATATATAATTTCCTTATATCGCATGCCATATAATGATAGCCTTTGGCATTTACAAACAATTTACATTAAATGCTTTAATAAATAAAGCTTTAAATAAGCTACAGCCAATGCAGCCCATATAATTAACATTGGGCCCCACTCCAGCAATAACAATAATAAATTGCCTCCGAACTGGGAAGGTGCAAACGCAAACGCAAAAGCAAAAGCAAAAGGGCAACAAAGAGTGGAGAGAAGAGAATCGCAAACAGCAAACGGCAAAACAGGAGAACAAGTTGCAGTTGCAGTTGCGGCCGCACTGGAAGCAGGTCAATATTTATGGCACTTGTCTTTGGCTGCAGTCAAAACCCAAACAAAGATCCTATCGAAGATGAAAACGTTGCTTAGTTTTGCTGATTTTTTCCTCGCACATCTGCAGAAACTTTCCCTTTTCATTTTCCCCCCATTTGTTGCAACTCGTCATTAAATGCTGCCCATTTTTTTACTGTCTTAAATAACTTCATTTGTTTAAGGCTTTATTGGGGCTTTATTAAAGCGCCGCAAGCGGCTGCTTGTCGCTGCTGGAGTTGAAACTGTGGCAGGAACTGCTGCTGCTTCGGCAAATTGCAACAATTTCTCAGGCTTCACTTGCTGCTCCCGCCAGTCTCGCATTGAGACTAGTCTCTCAGCCACTATAATTTGCATGTGATTTTTATGGCTCGGCGATTTACTGGCTAAAATATTTGATTTTAATTTGCTGCGTAATTGTTGGGTTTATTATTATAGCTTACCGACCAGAACCTGAGCTGTAGATTGGAGTTCTAGGATTCCAACACTAGCCTATTAGCGTACGGATTTATGTTTATGGCTTCATATTGACACGGCCCAAGGCCAAACAATGGGCCAAACAAGTTCGACCAGCCCCCAAAAGAGTGGGCGAGTGCGATGTCGTAAATTTAAATAACAACTATTTCAATATCGAAATCTAGTTAACTCGAGGCTTGAAAGCGAAACCAAAGGAGACTTTGACAAACTACAAATAATAATATATATATCTGTAGTTTTAAGGTATTTGTTTTCTCTTTAGAACTGAGTATTTGCCCATGTTACATTTTTGCTCCCAACAATCGGTCAAAGCCATCCACAGCCTTAACTTGGTCAAAACTGCACCGATTTCCACCTCTCTAAAATAATACTAAATTTGAGAATACGATTTTCGCTCGAAATTCATGTTTAAAGGCTGTTCCGACAATATCATTCTTATCGCGTATTATTTATATAATCTCTCGTGTGGTGCATCTGGGCAAACAACAATCAATAAGCCGCACTTAAGCGCAGCCACGCCCACTTGCCAACAGTGCACTTGTGAACATATATGAATGTGTGTCTGCCAAATATTTGCCCCTGCCAATAATTCAATTAACTTGGCAATAGCAAAGAGACTTGCAACACCAAAACAGAGCCCTGAGGCGGGGGGCTGCAACACAGAGCCTGGTCCACCTAATATCAACAACACATTTATTTCACAATTGGCGCACATTAATCAATGGCAAAGGCAACAACGGAGTCAGATTGCCTCCGAATCGGAGTGCCACAAAACAAGTACCTATACATAAATGGCAACTGGAGAGGACCGCAATTAGAAGCAGATTAATAAGCCGCCCAGTGGCAATAGGCTGGGCTGCTGCTGCTGCTGCTGCTGGTGGTGGTGGCCCACTGGTTGTGGGGGCTCAGCGCTCAGGTGCAGGCAACGCCTTGAAATTGCCTTAGTGGTTGTCATCCTCTCTCGCTTAGTTTTCAGCTCGTGGGTCGAATTACAACTGCGTCCGTCTGGGATTGTGGCCCACTTTAATTGCACTTTTCATACTTGTTAATTTTTCAATTTTGCTTGACCACCGACGGTGGCCAGTTGCCAAATGTCGAACGACTCGGAATACTCGTGGACCCCACACATAGATACTAGTACAGGTGGACAGGTGGACAGGCGGAGCGATCTCTCCCGGCTCTCCCAGCTGACCCAGCGATTGCAAATGCACAGCGGGCGCAGCTGTTGTCTGTGGGGGCGCCTCGTCGCCGCATTTGGGCCAAATTAATTGCAAGCGATTAAATTTCAAATTTTCCATGCCAGCTCCATATTCCAACTATCCAGAGTCAGTTGCAACAACAACAGCAACAACAACGACAAAAACAACACATCGACATTCGCTTCCGTGCTGCGAGTTTTGCGTGCAACATTTTTTACCGGAGCCTGCCTCCGTTTGGTTTGCCCACCTCATAAAGTGAAAATCATTAGTTTTCATTTGTGGCGTTTAGGGCGTGTGCCGCCCGCTGCACTGCTGGCCACAAAATTGTCGTGCAACTGTTTTGCATTGCAAATCCAAATGCAACTCCAAGTGCAATTTTCACTTGCGTCGTCGCGTCAACTTGTATTTTTTCTTAGCTTTTTGGTGCTGCCTCAAGTCGCTGCCGTGGCAGTTGCATGTCAGCCCCAGTCATGTGTGTTCTCCTGTGGCGAGCTTAGCACAGCTTAGCTATCGATGCTATTACAAATACCCTGTAACATAATATCCACTTGAAGTGGGTGTGATGATGTTATAAAAGTAAGCTGCCATTTTTTTGACAAGTCAGCTTGTGACTATATATATCATTTACTATATAGTATATATAGTATACAGATTTGAGATCTATTATCAATCGGCCTAATAGGGTATCTCGCAGTCAGGCACTCTGAGCGTTGGCAATTGTGATTTTGTGGTAATTAAAAGCATTTGCTGTTGCCCTATGACAGCTTCAGTGGATAGCAAATAAATTCCACATATGTTTGTATATTTGAAAGGCAGCCAAGTGGGCAGCAGATATTTTATATAGCAATGGCTTAAAGTTGAAAGGTTTCGACAGACTTCATGGTATATCGAATAGACTGAAGGAGCAGGAATATAAACTAGCTGCCAACATTTAAAACTTTAAGTTTGATTAGATAACTGCAAAAACTGAAGAAAATGTAGATGAAGTATTTGGCTTAGAAAGATTAAAATATATTATCTCGTATTGAATATTCTAATAGATTGCCAATCAATACAATATTTGTTTGAAAATCCACAATTTGAATAAATGCAAATTCAATTGTAATTCATTCAATACTTATTTCTAACTGAAGCCCAAACACAACAAGCAAAAGCAGACTCGCCATGTGAAACTTAGCGGCAACTAAACCTTTGGGAAAACTATTTAGTTGGTCTTTAAGTAACCCACAGCGGAAAGTCAAGTTCAAGTATCAAAGTTCAAGTCATAACTCGTCGTTTTGGGCTCATCATCATCATTATTACCATCAAGCCGAGCCGAGAGCAACACATATAAGTAACAAAGAATCGAGAAGCGTTGCACTAAATCAAGCCCACATAGTTTGAGAGCTTGGCCAGCATCAGTTTTAGACAGCTTCCACACAGTAGTCCACTGGGCACAGGGGCACTCAGGGGCACACACACACACACAGATGTGCACAGAAGCCGCGCAGTTCGAAGAGTCGCTGAGTCAACGTCAGCAGCGGCATCAACAGCATCATCATTAAAGCCTGGCCAAGATAAACACACGCCAAGGCGCAGCCCGAACATGTGTTGCCTGTCGAAGCCCAAAGAAGCGGGGCCAGAGCTATGAGGCCCACAGGTTCCTTCCTATATTATTACCCTGTATCAACAGAGAATGGGGGTATATTATTATAATTGTTCAAATCCAAGACCAAGACAGAAACTTTATCTTTGTCGAGTCCATGTATTTTAGTGTGTCCAAGTTGTTTCAAATTTCACAAGTATAGCATAATAACTACAAAAAGTCATAGAGTATCTTCTAGTCGTCCACTTCTCTCTACTTGGTTTTTTATTTATTTTTGTGCAGTTTTTTGTTGTTAGTTTGTAGTTTTGTGCCTGCTATTTGGTAGCAAGAACGGACACAAGCGCACATAAATTTTAAATATCACAACTTGGCCTAGGCCAAGGAAGATGCCAGCCGGAACAATGGTTTTGGCCACAATACCATATTTGGCAATATCTGGGCAACTTGGAGGTCTTCTGCCCCAGAACGGCTGCCAGTGTGTAATGCAGTTTGTACGCTTTTTTATTGACCTGTGCTGCACATCTCGAATGAGGGCCGCCTCATTAGACTCACAGCCTCAGGGTCTTGCTGCTGGTGCTGGTGCATCGCTGCGTATGAGTAATCTTCAACAGTTGTTAAGTCTGTGTGAGGTGGTGTGTGTGTGTGTATGTGTGTGTGGTTTGTGTGTTACTGCTCGATTTACACGGCTGAAAGGATTAATTCGTTACCAATTTGTTATAATATGCAGTCATAGCGATAAATCTATTAATTAAGCTGACGGTTGTTGTTCCCCTCACTGTGGCTACTCTCAGTGTGTGTGTGTGTTTATATGTGTGTGTCTTTGGGGATTTTGCAGCTGAAAAATTACAACGCTTTTTTACAAATTCGCTGTGGTTACTTTGAGCATCTGTGTGTGAGTCTCGATCTGTGTCTGTGTGTGTGGCTGGTGTGTAAATTTGTTAAAATTTAAAGCAGTGGGTGGCCTGTAAGTGGAAATGAGCAAATAAAACCATTTTATGAATCAACATTAATTTTGAATACCCTGTAATTTCAATAAAACGTGCATATCTGTGAACTGAATTGGGAAAACATTTCACTACAATTTAATCTTGTTTTTTTATGATTTTCTTTACAATTAATTCTTAAACAATCTTAAGCATGTGTTAATAAAATAATTGTAACTATTTAAAAAGGTTTTCACTGGTTTCAGGTGAAGTAGTTTTTTGTTATTTACATTTCGATATATTTTTGTTCAGAAAGAGATTTAAAGCGTCCGTCCAGTCAGCTATGAAACTATTTGTGACCATATTTAATTGACAACCATTGCATACAGGGTATTGCATAGTCGAGTAGCTGTTTGACGTGCTCTTGTTTATAATAAACCAATTGTGGGCAATAATATAACAACAATAACAACAACAACTTTGAACTACTGTGCAACGTGGTGTGTATAAATTTGCCAAATTAAAAAGCGACTGCAGGCAAGGAGTCGGCAGCGTTTGGACAGAGGGACAACTGTGGCGGGTAGCCACCCACCGGACGCATGGATGACGCAACAGGGTGCCCAACTGTGTGTTGCAGGCAGCGCCAGCGACAGCAAGAGCAAGAGCGAGAGGGAGCGAGTTACATCGTCTATAAATAAAACGTGTGCCAGAGTAAATCAAAACAACAAACACGAATGGCGAACATGTGGCGCTGTTGCCTGTTGGAACTGGAACTGAAGCTGGAACTGGAGCTGGGCGATTGGCAAGTTGGCAGCTTGGCAGCTAGCCAGGCGCTAGCCGGGATCAAGTGGGAGCCGACTCTGGGTGTGGTCGCCTGGGCGGTCGAGTATGTGATATGGCGTCAATGTTTTGAGCTCTAACTCTGACTCCGACTCTAGTTATGCGAACGGATTTGGATTTGTCATCTTCCCCCCAATGCGTCTATAACATAAATATTGTTACGCATTTTTCAGTTGACTGACTCGGGAATCGGGCTGCAGTTGTTGTTGCAACTGGGAACGGCTGCCTTCCCTGAAGACAATGCGCTCGTAATGTGCTGCCTGCGATAGCTTTGATCTGAGCGCCGGTTGTCAACATCTTATTCCGGTCCTGACATGATTGATTTTTCATGTTGTCCACTACAGCTTCATCGCTGAAATTTGTTATTGCTGCTGCTCGATGACTTTCCAAAAATATTTTACTTACTCCGCATACCATTGGCATACATTGTACAACAGCAGGAATACCCTGCAGACATATTGAAACGCATTATTTGAACATTTATAAATTGAATTCAAATATATATTATACGAGTATATTTTCTCTAACGTTTTCATAACATTTTTAATTAACAGAATAACCGTTGACTGATCTCTGATTGGCTTTCCCCATAGAAATTGGACGAAGAGCTCTCTGTTAACATCTTCCTCTCACGTCAGATGGCGAATTTGAACAATGATTGTGCATCAGCATCAACAACAAAAGCAATAACAATATTAACAGTAAATACTTTTAGCGGTAAAAGTGTCTTAAAATGTGGGTAAGTAATTGAAATTTATTGTGGCAAGTTGTTTTTGCTGTTGTTGTGACCTGAATGAAAATGTTGAGCAAATGATTTTGTTTGATGTTGCAGGCAAACATCAGAGAGAATGTGGCCGCTGCAACGAACACGTTGCATGTTGCTGTTTAGGCCCAGCCACGAATGGATTATGTTAGTGGAGCAATCAATCGGCTATATAAGGCAGGCGCGAACTGAAGAAAACACTTAGCGTGCCAGACAATTTCATTTGGCTTTATACATGACCAAAATCAGAGCGGTGAGAAGTTTTGCCCCATCCTGGGAAACAATTTAACTGTTAGAAGCTGAAAGGTGTTGATATGGAGGCGTCTCATCTGCCGCTGCTGCTGATGCCTCTGCTGCTGCTGCTGCTGCTGCTGCTGCTGCTGCTGGGAAAACTTATTGATATGGGGGCTTCCTTAGCCTTGGCAAAGGCGACACAAACTGCGCTTTTTCTGCGCTTTACGATTTGCGCCCAATTTTGGTAGCCCGATTTGTCACGATGTGTTTATTTTTTTTTTTTTTGTTTGTGTTTGATTTTGTAGTTTTTTCTCCCTTTTTCTTGCCGTGAAGTTGGACCTTATTTTTTGCGCCTGCCGCTCTGCAAAACTGGGAAGACAAACAAATTGGTCTGTAGTTGAAAATTGACAAGAATTTCGTGACTTTGTCACCTTCTTTTTTGCTGTTGCTGTTGCTGTTGCCAAAGAGACTCTTTGCAACGCCCTCGTAGGCAACGTTGCGCTGCTTTCCTTCCTTTTCGACCCACCGCTCGTTAAGTGGCAGTCAGCGCGTGCGCATTGAAGTCGCTGGCTGCAGTGACTCCGACTCCAACTCCAACTTCGAGTTCGACTTCGACTTGCATTACAGCTTCAACTTCAACTCCTTGCCAGCTCCAGGGCTTCCAAAGAGTACCCAAAATCCAAATCTCGACTGCCGATTGGCGTTGCTGCAGCGTCCCCCTCCCAAAATCACTTCATCATCAGGCGGGTTTTCGGTGCATTCTAAAGTCAAAGCAGCGACTGCCAACTGCAACTCTTGTCAGATTTATTTGTTGCTGTTCCTTTTGGCCAGGTTGTACAGTTGCAAATGCTCTTAATAATGGCCATAACCACTCCGTTACAAAGGCTGTATAAATACAGATTCTCAATGGAAAAAATAAAAGTAGAAGATGTCCTACATAATATTTTTATGCAAATAGACTGGATGCAGCATTAAATTTGTCAAGTTATCCTAAAGCAAATAATATAATTTAATTAGCCGATTTTATTTAATCATTAATCTGGAATAACTGGTAGCTAATAGCTCATCAAAATCAAATAGTTTCAAATGTATAGGAGAAAAATGAGAATTTTATATAATCAGCATGCAAATATGTTTTGTCAGATTAGGTATTGAATGGAAGGCTAATAAATGATGGCTTTTAAAACTCTATAACCAAACCAGCAGTGGAAGGGCATTTCTTGAACGGCTTGTTGAAGATTTCGGCTGCAGTTCATTTATTTCATTTGTCTGTTGACTTTTGTTTTTGTACGCTGGGCGCTGTACCTGTAACCTTTTGCACTTGGTACCCTTTTCTTATTTTATTTATTTATTTCTTCATTTTTTCAATTTAATGATTGTTTTTCGGTGCCCTGACAGTTACAAGGAGCTGCAACATGGACAGCACAGGACGGCGACAATTTCCAAACTTTAAACTGTGAAAAGTTTTTTCGTTTTCCGCTTTTCGGTTTTTGTTTGTTTTTTTTTTTTTTTGCTTTGTGCAGCTATGGAGGGAACATCAGGTGGGAACGCCCCCAAAATGTATTTGGAATATAGTCGAGAGCTGACTTTGTCTCATTTCAATTCAATTGTTATGGCTTATGGTCAGGCCAGCCTGATAACTTGGTCAATGCGCGCAAATTGACCAAATTGAGATTGAGACTGGCAACGCGACTGAAACGGGGCCCCACAGGCAAAGTTCGTGTCGAGCCGAGTTGCAGTGACACCAGCAAAAACAACAAGCACAACAACATCAGTAACTGCATCAATAATATTGTTGCCTCTTTTTTGGGTCAGCAGCCAAAACAGCAGCTATGCTGCTGCCTCTGACTGCCCACAGACCACCCCTCCCGTGCCCCTCGTCTGTCGCCTTGTTTTCCTTTGCCGCATTATGAGTTGACATTAGAGAACATGGCCAAGGCGCAACTTTAACATCGTAGCAATGCCATCGCCCTAAACTGACCCCATTGTACCTCGTTCATCGTTCTTTATACTCCTCCATGTTGCATTGTTGTTATTGCTCCTCTTTGGCTTTGGCCAATTTGCTGCAATTGCATTTCCAAGTGCTGCCAGTGCTCTCCAAGTGTGCCACTTTGCCAAGTTCGTTTGGGAGCAAACTAAAGGCAACAACAGCTACGCTTTCCTCCGCAATCAACAAATAAGCAACCTAAGTCAATATTTGTGGAAAATGTGGCGAAATGAGGTCATGTGATGCAATCTGTGAACTTGCAACCGTTGGAGCTTGCAACGCGGTCGCCAATACAGTTGCCAATGACGGCTTATGAGTGTGTGAATGCAATTTGTGCTTAGAGGACCCGAATGGCAATAACATATTCAATTCAGTTGATATGCAGAGCAACGATTGCAAACACAGCTCAAAAGGTCATCGAATAAGTAAAGTGGTCTATATAACCCAAAGATGCTCCACATGGATATGAATATACAAAAATACATATGTATGAGAGACACATTTGAAAATATTGAAGACTTTGGTATCTATTATAATAGAGAGCTTATTATATATATATTGTATATTTCAATGATATGTTTGGCTGCCACTGTCGTCGACCATCTATCAATGGCATAGTTATTACAATAATATTAAAGGTAAAAGAAAATCCAACTATTTAATAATCGTATATAAATCGTGAATTTAGTTTATTTTAGGTACTCTAGTTGAACTTTTCTTTGGTTGTTGTATGTAGCCATATAAGTATTGGAAGATCACTAATCGAATTTGAAGGCAAGATTTTGCCAACTTTCCACTCATTATAAATGCCAATGGTTTTGACAGTTTTTGCCAGCGATGTCAGTCTGGGTTCATCGGTGCATCTCAATGGAACTCGAAATGGCCAAAGCACTTTCCATCTAATCGCAATAATGCCAGGAAAACTGGCAGTCAAGCAGGCAAAATCAAAATCTAAAATCCAAACGGTTGTATGGGATCTGCCTTATATGATATCAATAAGGTATTAAGCCACCAGCCCATTAGCAGATCGACCCTGCGAGATGAGGTAGGCATTAGTAGTTGTTGTTGTAGATGGCAGTAAGTTGGAGGTGGAGTACGAGAAGCTGCTTGTACCAGCTACATATGTCAACACCATGAACTTGAAACTTTGCAGCCAGTTGCAAGTTGGCTAAAAGCGTTTTGTATTCTAATTAGATTGTCAACGGCACGACAACAACCTCATTTTGCTCAAAATGCCGGGGCACACACAGAGATTTGCATTAGCGCCAACCATGAAGCCACTACTCGGACTTCTGGCTCCACTCGACTCGACTTGGTTTCGGTAGACAAAAATCAGCATAAAGCTTGGAGTTGCTGCTGCTGTTTTTGCTGTTGCTTTGGGGGCAGGTTTGAAGTTCATTAACATGCACAGGTTAATTACCGTTGTTGTTGCTGCTGCAGCAAGGAAATGAGCCATTAGAAAAAGAGGCTCATAGCGCCGCAGTAGCCAAAGCGACGATAAAATGGCTAAAAGCACACATAAAAAAAACAGACACAAAGACACATGTAAAGTGTCCCTCCATCTGTGTGTGTGGCTGTGTGTGTGTGTGTGGGGGCGGGGGGACTTTGACAAATGCCCAAGAAGTTGAACGTTGGTTTTTTGTTTGCCTGCTACATGCAAAATGTTGCACTGATAAGCCAGCAACGGTGGCAAAGCCAATGCCACTGAAGTCATCCCGTTTGCCGCAGCGGTAAATGAGCTGGCAAAACATTGCAGACAGGAGAGTCACCAAGAGGCACGATCATTAAAACAAAAGCGGCGACAATAGCCACAGCTAATGCCACAAGTAGGAACAGCAGCAGCAGCAGCAGCAGCAGCAGCAGCGGAGCCATCACTGACAAACCATGACCAACAAGCCAAGAGCAGTTGCCAACATTTGCCAAGAGTCGGCTCCACCAAGTTAGCCTCTTTGGCTCTTGGTGTTGGATTGCCTTAAACGATCCGCGTGAATAACTAATTTCAATGGAAGCTGCTTGCTGCCTGCACACGCGCGCCTCTTAACATTTATCACCCACCATCGGCCATTGCCAGGAGCCCGGCCAGCTGCCTCCTGGCTCCATTCGAGCGGGCTCCCCCGCCTAAAAAACAGTCCGAGACAATGCAACAGTTTTTATGCTCCATGAGACAGCAAAGTAACAACAAAGCATTCTGAAATAACAACAAAAAAATGTTTACTGCTTTCAGTCTTAAAAAGGAGTGCGTAGGACAGGCAAATTCATGCATATTGCGTCTAATGAGCCTCAAAGAAAAATAAACTGGAAAAAACTGTTTTCAATAAACAAAAGCAATTTATAGAAACAGAAAAAGATTTTGTGAGACGGATTTTTTGAAGGCATTAAGAACTAAATAATTTAATTCAAATTTATTTGCTTTGACGGCTGTGAGGAAGGTTCAGCTATATAGAAAGGTTCATTGTCCAAATATTATTCATGTTGTAAGGATAAATTATTAAGAAATCATATTGAATTAAACTCGAACTTCTATTAAATAATAAAGGCAAGTAACTTACGTTAAATGATGTGCTAAATTCACAAATAATAATATTAAATATTTTAGCATTTGGCATATAGAGAATCTACCAATTCAGGTCAACCTATAAGGGTAATTTAACACATTTTAATCTGTAATCAATACAACTATCTGATACATAAATACTAATTTTTAAATGAACTTTTAGTCAAACAGATTTCATAGATTTGGAGTCCCCATATTTTAAATATGAACTTTATCAAATGACATATTTGTGCTTTAAAACCGCCATCACAGCAATGACAGCATAAAACTTGTAATATTAATCCCTACAGCTTGTCATAATACACACCAAAACCAAAAAATTCAAATAAAACACAGTGCTAACATTTAATGCTCGTGTTGAGCACATCACGTTGCAGCCTTTCTGGTATAGTATCTTGTAAAGTAAACTTGTTATATGCCTCAACTCTGAACTTATTGCATGCATCGTTTGGTTTTGTCTATGCCCACTCAGCTCTTGTACCAGGAACTCACAGCACGTGCAGTCTGGAGAGAAACAGACAGACAGACGGACAGACACACATCAAGCTAATTAAGCATACTTCAATAAAAAACCCACAAAAGCATCATAGAAAACGTGGGCCAAACAGCACACATGAAGCACGCTGTAACTGAAGTTAAGGTTGAGGAGCTGAAGCTGGAGCTGGAGCTGGAGCTGGAGCACCCACAGAGCGTGGCACGCGATAATCAATCAAAAGCCATTAAAGCCAAACGTTTTTCAAAAACTGAATTTCCAAAACAAAGCAGGCACAAAGACAATGAATCAAAGTAGAAAGCATTTCATCAGAAGTAGTACACAGTAACGGGGCCCAAAAGGAGTGGCAAAAATCATCTACGCATACAGCATCGACTGTCTGTCAAGACAAGTTAAAGATCAAAATCGAGAAATTTATACAAAAAAAACCAAAAAAAAAAACAGAAATAAACGTGAAAAAATAGTAAAACAAGATCAATAGAGCACGAGCCTGACTGGTTAGCTAGATGGATGGAGAGCAAACACACAGTTGCAGTTGCAGATGATTGACGGAATTAGAATAATCGCATGAAATAACGTTTATTATTAAATGACCCAGTTAAGGCCATTTGGGCCTTCAAGTGAAAAGTGAAGGCGTCCCACATCACAAGAATGTCGCAACAGTCTGGATGGAGTCTGATCTCTGTTGACTGTATGCAGTCTGGGGTCTGCCAATGTCGCTCAGACTTTGGCAAATGCAAATTTCTGCATTCGTTTTTGCTGCTTTGGTGCAACTTTCTAAATGAAATTCCAATCGCATGCCGTCTCTCTCGCACGCCCCATTCGCCATCTCGCTCGCTGCATGTGTGTGCAAAATTAAAGAAATAATTTCAAGCGAAAATATACAAATTGATTGTCACCTGGCAGGCGAGCGAGTTAAACCTTTTTGGCAGCGCCTTGGACTAAATCAAAGCACCTTTCTCCGTTTATCGGCCAAACACTTAGCCATGGCTAATACATATAAATTTTAGCATAGTGCCACACGGTGCACACGTGTGTGCCTCATATGTACAACATTGCCTGGCATTGGGCAGCCGGTGGGCTCAATTAGAGACGCGTCCGCAAATTGCTTTGCACTTTTATTGTCGCCAGCTGACGACGTCTCGAGGATATACATTTTGTGGCATGGCATTTTGTCGCGACACTTTCAACGTCTCTGGTTATCCCCCCAACTCACCGCGCCAATCAGTCACTCAATTGTGATCGTCCGCGTAATTGTCTTTGACAAGCTACGCAGCCTGCAATTCCCAGTTGCAACTCCTTGTTGGCATTTTGTTTGACTTGGATTAAGTTAAAGAGCATTGTTTAAAATTCCAATCATTGTTTACTAAACACTCATTCGTTCGCTTGCTGCGATCATCTTCCCCACTTTGCCTGTTCATCACCCAATCGCAGTTAACCTTGCCTAATCCTTTTAACCAGTACCAACAATGGGACTGTAGTTTGTGCCGAAATTATCAATGCAAACATAATAATAATAATAAATAATAATTATTATAATAACATAGATTTATTGTGTGTTCAAATATATATATTTAAATATAGGTTAAACTTGTCAATGGAGTTGAAATGTTGGCTAGTTACTCAAAGGTGACTTTGGCGTAATTTAAAATACATTTAAGAAATGCATTAATTATTAAATTAATTGTAATTTGGTATTTATCCAGCGATAGATAACAAAGAGTTAATTTATTGTATGTATGTGTAATAAATCACAACCTACAAATCTGTTAGATGAAAGCGTCTTAGGCATAGGAATATATAACTAAAGCCACAAGTCTTTTATTGCTTATTCACGATATACTATATCTAAAGTTAATGGCTCGATTACTATGGCTTATGTGCGAGCTATTTAAATTTATAGCACCCTTAGGTAAAGCAACAAAAGGTTTAGTCAGGCTCTAGACACGGCTGGGTTTATGACAACTTTTACCCATTTGACAACAATTTCATTGGTGCTTCATGTTCATCATGGGTGCACTTGTGAGATGGGCAAATGCAGACATTGGTCGTTGCTTGTATTATTCCACACACACACACACACACACACACAGACGTACACACATACCGCATCCTGTACCCCAACGCCCTCTTCGGACCAGCAGTAAATGGCATTTGGTAGTTTGAGCATGCAAAAATGATTTTATTGTTGTCCAAAAGTCGATGCAGGCACTGGGAAAACTCCTCTCGTCGACAGTGACTACGTCACTTCCATGTCCACGTCCACGTCCATATCCACATCCATATCCATGTCGAAAAGGTGGCCCCCAGGCGATCTCTTGAGCAGTTTTCGGCCAAATATTAGCACACAATTCGATTTTGCATGCAATGGCAGGTAGTAAATTTTTACGAGTGCAAGTGGCGAGTTTTTCTTCATGACTCTCCATTTGGAGTCGGGGCCAGCATCTCCTGGGTTTTATGTGGCCATGGCCACAGGCAGCTGCGCTTTTCGCTTTCACCTGTTGGCTGCAGTTATGTAAAATCTACTGTCAAATTAATGGTGATTTATATGTGGACCATAATTTGCACTTTGAATGTATATGGCCAAATGTTTTGTAGCCTTAAACTGTTTAAGTTCCTTAACCGCTTAATGTATATCTCGGATTAGGTGTATGCGGGTGAAAAAGGAGTGTTTTATGGCCAATAATATTAACATAGCTCAGCTTACAATCGAGTGGAATATCTTTGGGCCTTAGGCATAGATCTGACATTGACAAAATAAAATCAATGCTCGGAATTTCCGTAGTTGTGAAAGTTATCTATGGAAAGTAAGAAATTTCTTTTGCTTCTCTGATAAAATTCCATTTCAAATATTTGAGTTGAATATTTTACAAGTATCCAAAGTGTCTTCAAATCTTCAAATCAGGAAAAGGAAGTTCTCAGAGATCTGACCCAGTCCCGGGCTCGCTCCTAGCCCACTTTAATTATTATGAAGACTTATTGCTTTAATCTCTGGGAACTTTTCTTAAAATTCAAAGGCTTGAATGATAAATGCAGTCTGCTAGCTGTCGATCCCACACAATTAATGGTTAACTGAGGGAAAACTTTGGCTTGAACACAGCTTTTGTTTTAAAGTAAGCTTCCCATCTCCTTCACTCTCTTTCTTGTTCTCTCTCTCTAACTAACACTATCGCTCTCTAAGCAAGACTTTCAACTAAAAGCATTTCTCCATACACATTACATGACAGCCGATTTGTTGTTATTATTACTGTTGTTGTTCTTGTCGTCAGTGGTGTGGGCTTACATAGTTTTGAACATGTGTGAATCGAAAATGCCCATTACAAAGCGAATTCACTTTCACTATCCATGTGCATTCCAAGAATTCCGCTTCTATCATAGAAAAACAGCCACCTCATAATTCTGTCTGAAATCCTTCACATTTGAGCTTTTCATCTTAAAGTTTTGTGGCTTGTATCGGTTAAGTGAGGATCATGTCTCCGACTTGGGAAAACTCAGTCCAAAATTGACTAGTAGCATTGTAGATATCCACTTCAGTCTCGTGTCGTTCTTTTGTTAGTTTTGAGGGTATGGAAATCGAACTATCAGAATAGGAGCTACACTCGGATTCCATTGAGAGCGTTGCGCGTTCCTCTGTTCCATATCTACCACTCTCGAATTTGTGATCGGGTTCCCTGAAGTAATCAGAGGAGTCGGCTAACTCATGATCTGATTGGCTACTATGATGCTTGAAGGGCCTGCCGGTAAAAAGTACTTCCAAATGATATTTGGGATTCAGTTTTTTCTTTGAGTCTGCAGTTTGGTTTCTTTCTTTCTTCTCGAACCACCTAGAACTCAAAATATATGGCAAAATTCGGCCTGTTCTTAACTGCTCTGCATTATTTTGACCTGATGAGCTATAGTTCTCGAACTCATCGCAGCCAGGTGGCGTCTGATACTCAAACCCCTCGTTATCCAGCATATCCTGCAGCAGTTCCTGTGTCAACGGCATAAGACGTTGATTAGAGTTTGGTGGTTTTTTCCTTGGCAACATAATTTTCACTTAAATTTTGATAGGACGAAAAATTTGGATATGGAATAAAATCGACAGATACTGCAGGTCAATAGTATTACTAATTGTTAATCTGAATAGATGACAGCGGTAAATTTAGAAGTGTGAATCAAAGCAAGTGAACTAAATTTAAAGTAATTGTGTTGAGAACCATTTGAGTTTCAAAGCTTTCTTTGAACTTGGATTTTGGCATGAATTTTTCTTCATACCGATAAGTAATTGTAAATGTATTATTTAATTGCAGCATTCCAATTGATATATATAGATGGCTTAATATAAATAAGCATTGTGTTCTCTGTGAATTTGAGTTTTGAAAAGTTTGTCATAGTTGTTCATCACATGTAATATCAAAGAAATTTTTATTTAGCCATGATTTTTTTCAAGAAATTTTTATTTTGTATATCCTTACACTTAGGCTGCTATATACTGGCTTACTATCTTATCTTACTCGGATTCGGCTGTATATTTCTGGTGTTGCTTAAGATTGCCATCTCTTGTCCACGCATGCTCGTTTTATGGATTCTGCATTCCCAGATCAATGTCGTTGCTGGCGTTTTGCTGCTGGCTTCCGCTGCTGATGTAAGTCCTGTAAAAACACAATCGAAGCAAGAACTTAATGAATGTCAGTACACAGCCTATTAATCTTTACTACTTACTTCCCATACACAATTTTGTGAAGGTGCTGAGCTTGATAGCAGAATTGATTTTCTACCTATTAATGGCCAGCAGAAGCACTGGAAATGATGCGTTGTTTGCATACTCAATTGTCTCGATTTTCAGTAAGTTACGTAAGATATGATGAATGTAAGTCTAATAGTCACATTTTGGCTGCAGGTACAATCTACGTAGTGCTTGTGGTTTTCTCCTTTTATGAGATTTTGCAGAGAACGTTTTAAGCTGGTTTTGTATGCGTGGTGGCTTCACTGCAGCTTATGGCTTATCATGGCTAAAGAAAAACGGTAGTTGGTACGGTCGACGTCGAGCGGACTTAATCACAGCGTGTAGCATTTTGTGCCGTGATTAAAAGTAAATTTATTAGGCAAATGTTGCGCAATTGGTCGCCAGCATTCAGCTTACAGTGCATAAATCGTGCGGGGCCAATTGTCACCAGGCTCCAGGCTCCAATTCATACCTTACCCCACAGCTCCAGCTCCAGTTGCACCTCCATCGTTTTTCTTCTTTTTTTTTTTTTTTGACTCCGACTTTGGCTTAATTATCGGCGCACCGTTGCGCTACATGCGTGCTAATTGAGTGCGGCCAGTGACCAACTGACCAACTGAGCTTGCGACGCGGACATGGAGTTGGACACGAGCATTGACGTCGACGCCGACGTCAACGTGGACGCCACGTCCTGCTATGATAACAACAACGCGACGACAAACGCACGCTGTGCCAAAATGAAAATTATGTTGCAATCCTCAACGCTCAACGCTCAACGCTCAACGGTCAACTCTGCCTGGTCACTAGTCACTGATCGCTGATCGGGGGGGCTTAATTAATTTCGTTGATTAATTGAAAGTGCGCCTTGACTTGAATTTTTTTTTTCTTATTTTGCTCTTATCTTCTTGGTAGTACTTGGCTTACTCGCTGTAGCAGTGGCAAAGTTGAAGGCAAGTATGAAAAATGTGCGCAACTGGTGGACTTAAATAAAGTTTTGGGCAGTTTCAGTAGTATGTTGAGGGCGTTGCCATTGGGTCCAACCCTTTTGGTCCATTACTCTTAACCGACCGATTCGATTATTGGAAAAGTTATGACTGACCGCAGGGTAAAAGGGCCTCAACTCGAATGCAACTGCAACTGCAACTGCAGTAACAATTACAAATACAATTTAAGTGCATTCAATAAATATGCTTTTGGCGTTCGCTTTGGTTACAGTTACTTAATTGGTTATATACATATGAAGTGGGCTCAAAATAATCATGTCGCTGGCAGGCTAACCTGAAATATTAACGTTCTATCATAACAACACTATCATAATAGAAATTATCTCTAATATGCAGGGAAAATCAAGAGAAATATAGAGATAGGGAAAGTGTTGCATTAAGGTTGTATTGAAGAAACTCTCTATTTATTTGTGGCCCATTTAATGATTTTTTTTTTTTTTTAAAGAAATAATTGGTTGTGGTGATTGGCTTAATTTGTTTGCTCATTCCCTATATTATAGTTCTCTCTTACTCATTACACTGAGTCTAAGGAAAACCCTTTAAAAAACTTGACCAACTTACATTCGCAACTTTTGTTCATATATCATCAGCCAATACCAATAGCTGTGGGGCATTTAAATTATTTGCGTTACACTCGCAATTTGCCGCAAGGCAATTTCTTGATTAATTAGGCAAAGTTAAAGGTGCAACTCACGTAAGTTGATTTATTTATTTTTCGGTCCAGGAAATGGGCCAAGTTAATGGTTATTTGACATTTGCAATCAGTGTAGGAACAAGCGTCGCAGGAGCCACGCACTGCCGGCAAGTGAATGGGGCAAGTAGCGACAGGTAGTCCACAAAACAACAAAAACTGCAACTGCAACTACCACCTTAAACCAATTCCAATAGCGTGCAACGTAGGTGGCACTTGGACACATTTTTGAAATGGGCGCCCGTTGGCCAATTGTAAAACTTGGCCAATTGACTAACTAGCCAAGTGTCCAACTTGCCAAATTGAAAACGAAGTTACGATGCGGTCGACGATTTGTTTATGCACAATCATTTCTGATTGCAAATATTTATACTCTTACCATGGACACTATAATATTGCAATGCACTTGGTATAATCGAGCTGAAGCTCATTAAGGAACACAACAAATTTAATTCTTGTTTAAAATCGGAGATTTTTCCAAATATCTTAATTAAAAAGTTAGATCGTTAAATCATTCTATTAGTTAAAAATTCATTTTGTATATGAACGAACCATTTTCGAACGAACCATTTTCGAACGAACCATTTTCGCACAATCCTCGAAGCAATATTTTGCAGTTTTTTTGAGAAGAATTGTGTTGTAATAAATCGATTTTATGACACATACAAATGAAAATGTCTTAAAGAGTATTTAGACTTCCGATCGATAAAAATAGCTCCACCTTCATGAATGTATTTTTATTATTTGTATATTTTTTTTATTTTGTATTTTTAATTTAATGAAATATTACGCGCACGTGTCAACAGAGCGATAAAATTTATTTACGCAGCACTGCGGGTCAAGTGAAAGCACATTTTGCTGGCATCTCGGGAATTCAGACGCTGTGCAGACCTTCAAATTGAATTTACGCCGGCGCTGGGCAACGGCTTCAGCTAAAGCAAAAGTTTCGGCTTCGGGTTATGTTTTGGGGATCAGTGCCCAAAAAATTGAAATCGAAATCGAAATGTAAACCTGACTGCTATAAAAATGGGCGTAGGGCAGCCGCTCTGACACCCGGCCATATTTTAAATGTCAACAGGCAGTCGCCCGACCAAACTGAAGATCTCGAAACGCGGCAGCAGCCAAGGATGCTACTCCACACACACACAGACACACAGCGTAGTTGCCTTGTCCATGCGCATCAAAAATTCAATAAAATACCATTAAATTACAAAATGAAGACAATTCATTTTTTTCCGATTTTTTATTTAGCTTCTCGTATAAATTGCTTCGGACTCTGGGGCAGGTCTGTTTTTGGGGGATCATGTTCTGTGTTGGGTTTATTATGCGCTGCATTTTGTATCTTTAAGCAGCAGCATTTAATGTCGCTTTGAGGTTATAAGCAATAAAATATGAAAATCTGCGCTTATAAATGTTGAAAACAACATTTATCGTAATATTTTATGAAATCAGTGAATATTCGGTGAATGGTTACAATAACAACAGCAACAACAGAAGACAATGCCACATTATTATTAAAGTACCCCAAAAATTGACTTGCAATTGCATATATTTTATGGGAAGGTTTTCTTTTGGCAAATGATTGATGAACGATAGTGGTAATATAGTAAATCTGTAATGATAGACTTGTTTGTGTCCAAACAACATCAAGTTGTTCTCCTTCACAATGGGCATTCTTCTTAGAATCTAGAGAAACAGATAATTTATCGGAATGAAGATTGATAAGATTTAGGATTTAGGTTAATAAGAATATTTGTATAATTTACTATTTAATTTTTAAATACCAAATATTTCTTTTGGAATATAAATCGACAAAAATGATCTGTAAAATATGAACTAAGATCAAGTAAATTGGGAAACTAATAATATAAGCGAATTGCATTTAAATATGTTACTAGTTAGCCAGAAATGATTATTTCTTTGTATGAAAATTGACAGATTACATCATATACCTCTAAAATATACACCATAAATTATATTAACTCGTGACTTTTATGACTCGTTTGCAAACAATAATTTTCCACTTTTTCAGCACAAAGTATTTAGGAGCTCATTTCTAATACAAGGTACCCGAAGTACCTTGAAAATACTTAAAAGTTGACTCCAATGATAGGCGTGGCAAGGCCATCAACGGAATTAGTCAAAGAGCATTAAACAAACGTCCCCACAGCCCACAGCCCACGACAACGACAAGAGATATACGCCTTTTACAAACATATATGCACAATATTTAAAAAACTCATAAGCATTTGTGACCATTGTGACGCTCCGACTAATGGGCCGTTTAAGCGTTTCGGGACAAAGCCGACGGACAGACGGTTCGGCCTACACAATTCCACAAACCCCATGTAAAACTACTGTGGATGCAAGTGCTCGCTTGCTGTTGCTCCTGATGCTGGTCATTAGGCTGGCACCAGCTTTAACTCCACTGGCTAAAACTCTTCTTCCACTGCCAAATCCAACAGTTCCAGTGACGACGCACAAACAGTTGAGTGATGCGCATTGGGGGTCATTTGTGTCGGAGATGGGGCGTCACTTTGGGGGCTGGGGCTAATTTCCATGTTCCAATGTTCCAATGTTCGGTTACCGGCTCTAGAACAGTTCATTCACTCTGCAAACACGAGCACTCGAGTAATTTCGGAGCTGGTAGTCTGTTCAGCTCGTGTGACTCGTACAAAGCAGCTTAAGTGATTGCCGGGGCCTAACACCTACCGGCCAGCAGGTAGTAGAGCTTATGTCCGAGATCCGGCCATCTTTTGCGCTTCACTTGTTGGCAATGGCAATTTAATGGCTCGGCAATTGCTGACCCGTCGCTGACTACAAAGTTGCCGTTGGCACTCTGGCTGCACTTGGACTCTGATATCTGGAACTCGGAAAAACATTGCACTACACTTGGCGTTGTCGTTGTCTTTGCCAGCAACATGAGTATGATTTATAGTAGTCTATGTGGCCAAGCTTAAGCAGCTTCTGCTCTGCTCCGCCCTGTCCTACAAGCCAAAATGGCAATTCGTGATGTTCGTTAGCTTTGACTAGCGATGGCAACGTGTCGTGCTTTTGGTGACAGCTCGTGACTTTGTCAGCATCGCACAAAATAGTATCGGCAAAAGCTTTAAATGCTATTTCAACACCATATTAATAAGCATTTGAGTTTTGTTAAATAATTTAATTATATAAATTTATGTATATAAATTAAAGTAGCCTTAGCTCATTACAAATATATCAAAAATGTCGACAATTGTTCTAAGCAAGTTGAATAAAAGCTTGACAACTTATTTTTCATACATTTGAAAGATTTTTAATTTATTCTGAAAACATTCCTTTTAGATATTTATATTGTTTTGGCAAACATTTTATTGATTATCCTTCTGTGGCGTGCCCCATCTCCAACTGGAGGCTGTGTCTGTCTGTCCCGGTTAATGCGTATCATTTTTCATACCTCAGGCATGGATTTAGCATAATTGTATTTTATATTATTTGTGCTTAATTTGCTGTACCGTCGTGCACCTGATTTGCTAAATCATTTGAGAGACGGAGACAGCGAGAGTGAGTCAGTGAGAAAGACTCTAAGAATATTTGATAGTTCTGCTCTGTTCTTCGGTCGCTTAGCCGCCGGGCAGTGTCTTCTTCTCTTTTGCTCGCAGACAAGTTCGTTAATTTGACGCTCGCACCTCGTTCGCATAAATTTCCCAAGTGCCTGATCGGAGGAGCACGGAGCACAGAGTGAGGGGTGTGGCAGAGAACCACTTGCAGTACCACGTCCCGTTCGTCTAGTGTATTGCTGATGCTTGGGCTATTAGCGCACAATGCCAACGCCTGCGCCGCCCACTCCAATGGTGGTGCCGCCACTTTACTTCGGCTTCCAGCGAGACTGAGCTCAGCTTCAGTTTATGGTCATGCGGCGTTCCTTTTGTCAATTTCCAGACATTTGCCTTTAAGTGCAGCCACAAAGCGGCTGCCCAGAGATTTATGTTGTTCTGTTGTCATTTTAAGTTAATGGCTTGTAGTTCTCCCGCTCTCCCTTTTTTCTCTCTCACCAGAGTTTTTCATAACTCTTTGCATAACCTGATGATCGTTTCTTTGCCTTCCCAATTGGCGGCTGTTTGCAGGTGAATTTGCGCCAAGGCAGCTAGCTAAATTTATGACTCGACTTTTAAATTGGTTTATGGCAATTTCCGCCTCACCCACACACACACAACACACGCACACACCCAATCACATCACACACATATGCACGAACTATCAAATTTGTGGCAATTTCGATAAATGTGAAAAAATTTACTTCGATTCAACTTCAAAGTTATCGATGCCATCAATTCGAATACTGGGTAGCACTGTCAACCACATTTTGGCAAGTTTGTCAATTACTGGCAAAAAGTTCATTTGATTTAACTTTCGGTGTATTTTCGTTTTTGTTTTTTGTCAATCAAACAAAATGAATAGCCACAATGCGAAGGCGATTGCGGCAGCTGTTGCAATTGCCGCGGCTACCGCAGCAGCATCCACTGATCCTGAGAAGGAGTCCGAGTCGAAGCAAAGTCTGACCGCTTTGGTGCTATATGTGGATGTGGCTACGAAAATGCCCAACACGGAGAATACGCCTTCACCACCGCCAGACTTCACCTTACTTCGCGAGGATTTTCCAGCATTGCCCGGAGTCGAAGATGATTTGAGCACTGCTCCCGAATCGACCGACTGGCCTGCCATCATAAGCGATGACGATCCGGAACAAGTTGAGCAAGCCGTATCCGTGCCGAAGGCGGACCCAGTCAATCTACAGGGTAACGGCAACTCTCAATCTGGCAAACATGAAGCACTGAAGACAAAGCCATTTGCCGTTGCACGCGTTGCTGCCACCACCGAGGTGTACTCGCCGGGCTGCAATGAGTCAGAGCCGAATTTCATCGGCGAGTGGGAACGCGCCGGGAACAAGCCTCGGAAGTCCAACATTGGTCCGCCGCCTGGCTATGAGAAATTCAAGTTCTACGGACGCTTGAAGACCAACCGCATTGGTCTGCCGTTGGGCGGTGTGACCTTTGACGTCACACCGCCTCTGATTAATAAGGACATGCCGCCCCAAGTAAACACCAGCATTGAGGGTGCCTATGGATTGGTGGAATTGGCTCGCAATTTGGAGGCTGCACAACACAATCGGCAGCTTTTGTCACAGTTCTTTGGTCACGATACAATGAATCTTAATGTGAATGCGAACTGCTGGTTGAACCAGCTGCATGCTGGCTTTGCTGGTCCGCTGCAGGGCGGACGCTGTGCACCTCATGAGATTAACAGCAGTGTGCCGCATTATTATTACCGCACTGACGGTAAGCAGTTGCCGCAGCCCAAGATTGACCAGATGCAAGTGGAGCTGTTGTTCTTTTTTTTCTATTCATATCCGGGCGATATGATGCAAATGCTGGCAGCAGCTGAGCTGGCAGAACGCGGCTGGCGTTTTCACATTTACGAGCGCCTCTGGCTGCGGCGACAGCCGGACAATCCGCACTATGTTATGAATGGGTATCAAGAATCCGGGGAATTCAACTACTTCAACATGGTGCACTGGCAGATTATGGCGCGCCACTTTGATCTGAAGTCAGAGGACCTAGAGCCCACCATCACCAAAGCTGAGCTGCGAAAAAATTATGGATACCATCCCCAAATGAGGTAGGTAATCGAAGAGAGCTGCTCACCAGACAGTAATCATTATCCCATCAACTCTCTCCCCTTTTGTCTTTCCCAGCGACAGCTTCCTTTGAGCCGGGCTTTGGCGGTGTAATTGACTCAAGTCTACTACGGACAGATTTGCTAAGCAAGTTGTCTATTGTATAAGAGTATATTAACATTAAATGGTTTATCAAATATACATACCAAAACTAATATAAGTGCTTTGGTAATGAGATAGGATCCCCGGTACCCACCCAGTGACTGATCATGACGATAAACGGACTAAAGTCGAGTGTTGCTTTTCTATCAAAATTTTGGCAAGAAACTATCTACATCGGACTACTATTTTACTTTCCTTAGGAAGTTCTTGTTTCTAAAAATGAAAATCTTGAACCAGTAGGAATGGTTTAGTAGAAAATGCTTGACTCGTAAATACCTTTTATTTGGGATAGTTACACTGAATATTTCTCACGTGCTTCTAAATTGACCTTGCAATTTGTACAGATGATCAATGTTACGTCAATTATGTATTGAGTGGAATTATATATCATATGGTATAATACAATATAATATTGGTACAAGGCAGAACTGAATATAAACGTTTATAGTGTAAGTATTGAAAATAGCTCGCAATTGCTTTTGATAGTTTGTCTGGCTTAAAATGTGTACAAATAATTTTTTGTTGTTGGTATACTCCTCAGAGAAACGTACTATTAAACAGCTGGTCGAGCTTAACCACTATTCTTTGGAGGGGTGAACCAACCAAAATGCTCGTGAACTCTCAACATCGAGTTGTAGCTTTGCTGAGCACGGGCCAAACTGTTCTCGGTCCGGGATATGTTCTCAGTTGAGTGAAAATTGATGCGCGCATTGCCCTCGACCAGTGTGGCGGCAATTTGCAATATTACTGCCTCGACATTGTAGGCGGAGCTCCAGCCATTCTTGGTCAGCAGCTCCATGCATATGGCACCGCCGATCAGCACATGGCCGCCATAGATAACTGGATGCACGACCCGGACAAAGGGTGGCTCAAACGGATATTTGTCGCTGAACAATGCATTCAACTGAATATAATCCGTACCCTCATTTTCTTTGAGCTTCAACAGATCGCTATGTAGTGGACTATCGGAATCTACAGAGTTCAAGCAAATATTCCAATTGTAAATAGAGTCCTCGACCAGCTCGACTGAGTATGTTTTCTGTTTGAATACTTTTGATCGATAAATATCGCGAAGTTCCTTCATTAGGCGATCGCTGGCCAGCACAGATCCAGTATCGGCAGCTTCCGCATATTTCTGTCTTAATTTTGTGCGCAGCGCTTTTAGAGTATCCAAATGCTCCTGATCAATACCATCATTTTCGTTTACTATCTGCAAATCTTCTAATTCCAATGGGACACTCTCATCACACTCGGTCTCTGACTCGCTTTCGCTGTTGGGTTCCAGATCGAGCAATTCGTTCTGCTCGAAATTTGAATCACCAATCGCCTCATGGGAAATGACTTTTGGTTGCGATTCAATTGGCACCGTCAAGTCATCAATATCACTGGGAACAGGAACCTTGTGGCATAGGCACAATTCGCGCAGCAGCATCCCAACCTGCAAGATTACATGATTGTCCCGCCCTTCTGTGGTGCCTAAAATTTGCACGGCATTTATAACGCTTTGCTCATCGGACTCGGAAAACCAGACTGGTGGTGTTGACGGATACGTTTCCATTATGTTCGCATGGATGTCATAGTGTTTGCCATTCTTATCAATAAATCTGCAGAGCAGCTCGTCCAAGGTGGCGTTGTGTATCTGAAAGCGTGCGTGAGTCTTTGGAAACATTTGCTTCAGCGTTTTAATTTCAAGCTTCAGAGATTGCAGGCACGCCATGTCCTTGGCTAACGCTTGGGTCGCAGCCCAGAAAGTTTTGCTGGAAAATGGTTCTGCTATTTTCTTATTATTATTATTATTATTATTTTATTTCTTACCTCTGATTCAACACAAAATTTAAACGTGTTTATGTCAGAACCTCTCCGATTACGAACTTCTTGTGTTCTAATGAAATTTAAGTTAATGAATTATTAAAGAAAATCGGGCTACTAGATTAGCAGTAGCAAAAAAAATCGATTAGAAAATAAACAAATGTCTGAATCAAAAAGCGAATGGAATAAGCTGCACATATGTAGATAATGCACGCATAGTTCAAATTATTTAAGAAAAAACAAATAAAAATACTATAAAATGTTGTCAGCGAGTTCAATAAGAAATTTGGTGAGGATCGACACACCTTTAAGCTGAGTGTATCCAATATCCACATCCACATGCCACGCGCGTCACTGGCAACTGCTTGAAATGCCAGCGCAGCCACTGTGATCACTGTGATCACTGTGGCCACTGTGGCCAAGCCTCGAAGCACAGTAGAAACGCGGCTCATTAGCAAAATGGAGCAGAGTCTGTCGGTGGCACCGTTAAGCAAGCCAAATCAAACGAATGAGCGACCACACGATCTGTTGGCCAAGTGTCGCTTTGCCCGCTAATTGCCACGTAAATTTGCAACCATTTTTGGCAGCTCATTAAATTTATTATTAAAACAAAACGCTGGCCAAAGTTAATTGCCATCAAATTGACATACGAGACGACAGCACCCGCCATTAAGCTCGAGCTGCAGCTCAGAGCTAGACTCTGAGCCTGGCCAGGCCTGCCTCGTGCGTATTAATTGCCATGGAGACTTCATAATTTCAAGTTGAAAAATGTGAACGTTAGGCGTGCACAAGCACAACAACAACAACAACAGCAACAACAAAAATAACAACAGCAACGAACCCAAACTGTAATTTAAGCACAAGTCTTTTAAATTGAAAAGTGTATATGGGGACTGCAAGTTGGAGGCTCTGTCCAGTTGGTGGTTTATTTATGGCATAGCAAAGTTTGATTGAAATGTGTTGTCTGTGAAATTGACAACTGGGTGAGATTTGCACGGCTGTGCTTGCGCTGTTTGCTCTGGTTTCAAGTGGGGGCCTCCAATTAAGCATGAATCATGCCTTATGCTCGGCGAGTTGTGCAATTTTCCGGAGCTCTGATTAATAAGCCGCCCGCACACTGGTCCTAAGACGTAACCTCAGCGAGGCATTAACCCCTTAACGTAACCCCACAACACACACGTACACACACACACGCACGCAAGCCGACAATTACCGTTACAATTCGCAAGTCTTTGCACAGTTCTTGTGCAGTTACATGCGAATGTATGTGTGTTCATATGAATGTAGATTGTTGTTGTTGTCAACACGCTCGTAACTTGCAATCAACTTAAGATGACAGTGAAAATGAAGCATTGACGCCTCGCACGTACCACTGAGGATGCGGATACAAGTTGCAAGTTGCAGTTGCACACAAACACACACACTTACACACACCTCACACCTAGCAAAGGCCAGTGGGCAGGCCTGCAGACCAAAGCAATCTCATCTGGGAAAGGTGTGTTGGACAATCAGGTTTCCTGGTTTCGGTGCGAGTGGGTACCAAATTAGACACATTTTATTATTAAAATCCACTTGTGTTGAAATAAAACACGACTTTCTGTGTCGCATATAATGAAAATATATGGCAAGTTAATACCTGAATTTATTTATCACCCATGCGCAGGCCATTCCAAGCCAAACCGCTCTCCATCGACCACCAGACAGGGACTGCAATAGCAGCAAGCAACAAGTTTCAGTTGCGATTTGGGTGGACTGCAACCGAAAGGCGCCAAAGGGCAACGTTCAGTATGATGCAAACAATTGGAGATGGACATTGATCGTGATTTTCTGCACTCCTGGATGCATTTCGTGCTGGTTCTGTTCTTGGGGCAGAGTTAATTAAATTTGTTGAAAAATTCATATGTAAAAAAAGGTCGAAATAATCTACGAATATCATAAGCTATGATATCATCATATAGATTCTGTTTACTTAAGTTGGAGGAAAAAAATAGGTTATCATGAGGTTTATTAGTGGTTATATCAAAATTTTTTCTTTAGGTAGTAACCGTAACTATGGCTTATGTTAATAATACAAATTTATTATTTTATTTAATTTTTTAACTTTACATGGACAATTGATATAGTGGATCAAACCAAATTGCTTGACAAGATTTCGATTTCTCTTTTATGAAATATTAATTATTTTTTGAATTATTACCTTAGCTGCTGGTTCAGTTAACTCTGATCAAATACAAAAGTTCATCCCCAATATGCAGACAGAATGTGACTTGACAACAGAAATTCTGAGAAATTAGATCTGCAAATGGCAGACGAAAGCGCATTTGTAAGATCAATGAACGTTGCCATCAAGGATTTTGTCATCGCACTTCGGTGAGTGTTCAGCGATCGCTTTCATTCAAGCCCAAGTCTTGTCTACGCTCTTTGCATATCAATGCTTCGCTCTACATTATGCTAATTGGCAGCTTCTTCCTTTTTCGCCGAAGCAGCCAAAAACAAATTTGTAATGTTAATTGCTCTCTTGCGAACTCTGTGATATCCAATTGCGATTTGCATGTGAGAAGATCGCGTCAGGTATATTTCGATTTCGACTTTACTTATTTCAGTTATATTTTCTTTTTTATTTGATGTTCTTTTGGGCGGCATCTCTCGGCAAGTTCGTTGTCTTATTCATTGGCGTCGTCTGAGTGTCTGGCGTGGCGACTGCGACTGCGACTGTGGCAGCAGCGGCGACAGCGGCTGCTGCGTTATGCCATTGATGTGGCAGAGATCAGCGAGTGAAGAGTTCAAAGACACAACGGTACATTCAACTTGGGCAAACGACAAGGCCACAGTGACCACGATACGGTCCACACACACCCACGTGTGGCAAGTCAATGGCCTATCCGCTGGACGAGGGTTGATTGAACCTGAAGCTGAAGCAAAAACCGAAGCAGACGCAGAAGCAGATGCTCAGGCTCAGGCTGATGCTGATGCTGGGGCTGCCTGCCCCAACAAACGGCAAATTGCAACCGAATCGAACAGTAGTATTGCGAACTATGAGCGCGATTTGCAATTCAGCAGTAGAACAATGGAATCTGGCGCTGCCTCTGGAGCAGCGAGCATCCGCATCAGTAACTCGTCTTCCCGTAACAATTTCCTTACTTATGCAGAATGTTTAACGGTGGTTCCATCGCCCCCTGAGCCATCAGCATCACACAGCGCACAGCACACACCACTGGCCACTGAACCGTCAAAGGCAAAGCAAAAGCAAATCGAGCAACAAAATGTAGGTGGTATGCATTTTAAAGCAGTGAAAGTGCAAGAACCAAACATATACCCCGTTCATTGTGCCCGTTCTGCTACCAGATCCGCTTTTATAATTGCAAAACTTGAATGCAGCTTTATACGTATACTATATATGCTCATTCATACATATCTGCAATCTGCGTGTTAAGCTTATCTAAGCGTTTTCAAATACGCGCAAAATTTGTCAAAACAAAATTTGAATTGAATTTGTCATGGCAGCGGTATGCACCCACCTAACCCCACAAGTATCCACACCCTCATAACCCCTTGTTCCGCTGCATTGGCTGTTGATTATGTAAGTTGCATTAGCATAAATGTGATTGATCCCACAGTTTGTGTATTATTTGATTTTTATTGATTTACGAATGAAATGCAAAAAAATGCAGTTGCATTTGCAGTTGAGGAATTGTGGTTGTTGTTGTCTCTTGTTATTGTGGTTATTGTTGCTATTGCTTTGTGTTATGAGTGTTTCTGCACCGAATTGGCTAAGCCCCAGTGGCTCAATGGTTACCCTACAATAGCTACTAAAGTACTTTTACATACGTTTTGAAGACATGCTCGAGAGTCTCAAGCATTCACAGTACGTCAATGAAATCCAACTGAAAATTTCATCTGGCATCTCTTCAACTCTCAAAGGACCCCAACTGAACAAGCTGACCTGCTGGGTATTGGCATGGTCCATAACTCTGCCACTATGGATGATTGTGTTATCCATCGTTGTTGGCATTTAGGCATTTGCATGGCATGCACATATTTAATAGACTTTCTGAATATCACAAAATATGCAATTGGCCACAGCCCAAAAACGCAGGTGAAATTTGCATGATTATGACAAAAGTTGCGTCGCTTATTTGCTTTTGCCTCGGGAGAGTTCAAAGCTCTTTTGAGGGAAATACAAGCGAGTAATAGTTGCATTTCCTATATGAAAAAAACATCAAATATCTCCATTCAAATTGCATATGATTAGGACTACGTAGATTATGCACAGTTTGCTCTTGTGCTGTGGGAGCAGGCTGGCCTTTAACTTATCGATGGCATGCAAAATGATATTATAGCACAGTTTTAGGCGCCTTCTTTTTAGGGTGATGCAATTAAAATATCTATCTCTCATGTATAAGATGATACATATTTGTATGTACCATTGATGTGCTTTTAAATTTATGATGGCGCTACTATGTAATATACTCAAATATAATATATGCAAATAAATGCAAATTACTCTGATGTTTTGTACTTATTTGTGTACATAGCTATTGCAATATTTGTATATTAGATAATGGCATTGTAATCTGTAAGCTGTACGAGTAAAACTAAATTGATTTAAAAGTTTAAGACAGGATGTATTAACTAACTATGCTTAGCAGATATTCAATATTCTTTTTTGAATGTTTACTACTTCAGGCACATAATATAGTATATCTGACCCCATAATTTAAGCCTATTTCGGTCTCATAAGCGACGTAGCAATTTAGCCAACTGTATTCATGTGCAAGTTCTGCGCTCTACTAACTCTTTGTCTGAAAATCATTTAAAGCACGCGCGCCGCCGGCCAACACCAAGTATGAAAGACAGTTGCAAGAGCTTAAGCGCCAGTGACAAGCAGCACGCACTGCTTACCCTCTCTCTTTCTTCCTCCACCCACTCTCTCTATCTATCCCTCTCTCTCTTTGTCTCTCTCCTTCTCTTTCGTTGTTCAGTTCTCGATTTCGCTCTGTTGTCTGCTGTGGCATTCTGCATTCGTGTGCGCTGCTCATTGATCGAA